TGGTTTAATGAACACAAATAAAAGCGTGTATCAGCATTGGGAGCCACTTTGGCACACTTGTGTTCATGGCTTTGGTCTGGGCTCTCATGTAGACCTACAAGCTCTCAGAGACATGTGATCTAATTAACAGATTTTCTCATTCTTCATGTCTGGCTCAAGGGACACTCCAGAAACAAGCTACATAGAAATTAGCTCAAGTTACAACTCCTTTACAACAATCTACATAACAATTAGCTCAAATTACAACTCCTTTACAACAATCTATATCACAATTAGCTCAAATTACAACTCCTTTACAACAATCTACATAACAATGAGCTCAAAGTATGATATAACAAGCAACATAACAATAATGTACAATAACCCCACTGTTACAGCCATACCATATAACAATAACCATATTAATGATATCCACTCAATGCAGCACAGACTATTCAGATTTGAAGGAGTCTCAAACCACTTGAAAACTTAAATCTCAGCTGAGGATCAACTAATCCTTGGTGACGTGTGGCGTCTCAAGAACAGTTGCAGGATCTTTGAGTGGAACTTGAGCCCATGAGGCGGGGAAATCCCATAATGCAGTCAAACAACACCAGGTTAGCCAAGCGTTGGGTTTTAAATAAAGAAACAGCTAAACAGGAAATGCTAGTTACAGAAATATGAATCTTCTCCCTTTGAAAGAGTTAGATTATGTCCCTTATTGTGTTGTGACCCAATTATTCTAGTTACCACCAGCTGATATGGTCGGTTTGTTTCGCTCTTAAATAAGATTTCACGCATTTTAAACATAAGAGAACAAGACAATTTGGAGCTAGACGTTCAATTCACACAACCAGTATAAAATAACAATAAATAAATCAATATCAAAAACAATTGTATTCAACAAATCTAAACAATAGCCTCATTCATACATGAATGGGCGCAACATCAGGCCTGAGTCATCATGCCTTTGTTGTGGTCAGCAGAACCGGTACCTTTGTTGTGGGCAGCAGGACTGGTACCTTTGTTGTGGTCAGGACTGGTACCTTTGTTGTGGTCAGCAGAACCGGTACCTTTGTTGTGGGCAGCAGGACTGGTACCTTTGTTGTGGTCAGGACTGGTACCTTTGTTGTGGGCAGCAGGACTGGTACCTTTGTTGTGGTCAGGACTGGTACCTTTGTTGTGGGCAGCAGGACTGGTACCTTTGTTGTGGTCAGGACTGGTACCTTTGTTGTGGTCAGCAGGACTGGTACCTTTGTTGTGGTCAGCAGGACTGGTACCTTTGTTGTGGGCAGCAGGACTGGTACCTTTGTTGTGGTCAGGACTGGTACCTTTGTTGTGGTCAGCAGGACTGGTACCTTTGTTGTGGGCAGCAGGACTGGTACCTTTGTTGTGGGCAGCAGGACTGGTACCTTTGTTGTGGTCAGGACTGGTACCTTTGTTGTGGTCAACAGGACTGGTACCTTTGTTGTGGTCAGCAGGACTGGTACCTTTGTTGTGGTCAGGACTGGTACCTTTGTTGTGGTCAGGACTGGTACCTTTGTTGTGGTCAGCAGGACTGGTACCTTTGTTGTGGTCAGCAGGACTGGTACCTTTGTTGTGGTCAACAGGACTGGTACCTTTGTTGTGGTCAGCAGGACTGGTACCTTTGTTGTGGTCAGGACTGGTACCTTTGTTGTGGTCAGCAGGACTGGTACCTTTGTTGTGGTCAACAGGACTGGTACCTTTGTTGTGGTCAGCAGGACTGGTACCTTTGTTGTGGTCAGGACTGGTACCTTTGTTGTGGGCAGCAGGACTGGTACCTTTGTTGTGGTCAGGACTGGTACCTTTGTTGTGGTCAGCAGGACTGGTACCTTTGTTGTGGTCAGGACTGGTACCTTTGTTGTGGGCAGCAGGACTGGTACCTTTGTTGTGGTCAGCAGGACTGGTACCTTTGTTGTGGGCAGCAGGACTGGTACCTTTGTTGTGGTCAGGACTGGTACCTTTGTTGTGGTCAGCAGGACTGGTACCTTTGTTGTGGTCAGGACTGGTACCTTTGTTGTGGTCAACAGGACTGGTACCTTTGTTGTGGTCAGCAGGACTGGTACCTTTGTTGTGGTCAGGACTGGTACCTTTGTTGTGGTCAGGACTGGTACCTTTGTTGTGGTCAGCAGGACTGGTACCTTTGTTGTGGTCAGCAGGACTGGTACCTTTGTTGTGGTCAGGACTGGTACCTTTGTTGTGGTCAGGACTGGTACCTTTGTTGTGGTCAGGACTGGTACCTTTGTTGTGGTCAGCAGGACTGGTACCTTTGTTGTGGTCAGGACTGGTACCTTTGTTGTGGTCAGCAGGACTGGTACCTTTGTTGTGGTCAGGACTGGTACCTTTGTTGTGGTCAGGACTGGTACCTTTGTTGTGGTCAGGACTGGTACCTTTGTTGTGGTCAGGACTGGTACCTTTGTTGTGGTCAGGACTGGTACCTTTGTTGTGGTCAGGACTGGTACCTTTGTTATGGTCAGCAGGACTGGTACCTTTGTTGTGGTCAGCAGGACTGGTACCTTTGTTTTGGTCAGGACTGGTACCTTTGTTGTGGTCAGCAGGACTGGTACCTTTGTTGTGGTCAGCAGGACTGGTACCTTTGTTGTGGTCAGCAGGACTGGTACCTTTGTTGTGGTCAGGACTGGTACCTTTGTTGTGGTCAGCAGGACTGGTACCTTTGTTGTGGTCAGGACTGGTACCTTTGTTGTGGGCAGCAGGACTGGTACCTTTGTTGTGGTCAGCAGGACTGGTACCTTTGTTGTGGTCAGCAGGACTGGTACCTTTGTTGTGGTCAGGACTGGTACCTTTGTTGTGGTCAGGACTGGTACCTTTGTTGTGGTCAGCAGGACTGGTACCTTTGTTGTGGTCAGGACTGGTACCTTTGTTGTGGTCAGGACTGGTACCTTTGTTGTGGTCAGCAGGACTGGTACCTTTGTTGTGGTCAGGACTGGTACCTTTGTTGTGGTCAGGACTGGTACCTTTGTTGTGGTCAGCAGGACTGGTACCTTTGTTGTGGTCAGGACTGGTACCTTTGTTGTGGTCAGCAGGACTGGTACCTTTGTTGTGGTCAGGACTGGTACCTTTGTTGTGGGCAGCAGGACTGGTACCTTTGTTGTGGTCAGCAGGACTGGTACCTTTGTTGTGGTCAGCAGGACTGGTACCTTTGTTGTGGTCAGGACTGGTACCTTTGTTGTGGGCAGCAGGACTGGTACCTTTGTTGTGGTCAGGACTGGTACCTTTGTTGTGGTCAGCAGGACTGGTACCTTTGTTGTGGTCAGGACTGGTACCTTTGTTGTGGTCAGCAGGACTGGTACCTTTGTTGTGGTCAACAGGACTGGTACCTTTGTTGTGGTCAGCAGGACTGGTACCTTTGTTGTGGTCAGCAGGACTGGTACCTTTGTTGTGGGCAGCAGGACTGGTACCTTTGTTGTGGTCAGCAGGACTGGTACCTTTGTTGTGGGCAGCAGGACTGGTACCTTTGTTGTGGTCAGGACTGGTACCTTTGTTGTGGTCAGGACTGGTACCTTTGTTGTGGGCAGCAGGACTGGTACCTTTGTTGTGGTCAGCAGGACTGGTACCTTTGTTGTGGTCAGGACTGGTACCTTTGTTGTGGTCAGCAGGACTGGTACCTTTGTTGTGGTCAGCAGGACTGGTACCTTTGTTGTGGTCAGGACTGGTACCTTTGTTGTGGTCAGCAGGACTGGTACCTTTGTTGTGGTCAGGACTGGTACCTTTGTTGTGGTCAGCAGGACTGGTACCTTTGTTGTGGGCAGCAGGACTGGTACCTTTGTTGTGGTCAGGACTGGTACCTTTGTTGTGGTCAGGACTGGTACCTTTGTTGTGGGCAGCAGGACTGGTACCTTTGTTGTGGTCAGCAGGACTGGTACCTTTGTTGTGGTCAGCAGGACTGGTACCTTTGTTGTGGTCAGGACTGGTACCTTTGTTGTGGTCAGCAGGACTGGTACCTTTGTTGTGGTCAGCAGGACTGGTACCTTTGTTGTGGTCAGGACTGGTACCTTTGTTGTGGTCAGGACTGGTACCTTTGTTGTGGTCAGCAGGACTGGTACCTTTGTTGTGGTCAGCAGGACTGGTACCTTTGTTGTGGGCAGCAGGACTGGTACCTTTGTTGTGGTCAGCAGGACTGGTACCTTTGTTGTGGTCAGGACTGGTACCTTTGTTGTGGTCAGCAGGACTGGTACCTTTGTTGTGGTCAGGACTGGTACCTTTGTTGTGGTCAGCAGGACTGGTACCTTTGTTGTGGTCAGCAGGACTGGTACCTTTGTTGTGGTCAGGACTGGTACCTTTGTTGTGGTCAGGACTGGTACCTTTGATGTGGTCAGCAGGACTGGTACCTTTGTTGTGGGCAGCAGGACTGGTACCTTTGTTGTGGTCAGCAGGACTGGTACCTTTGTTGTGGTCAGCAGGACTGGTACCTTTGTTGTGGTCAGCAGGACTGGTACCTTTGTTGTGGTCAGGACTGGTACCTTTGTTGTGGTCAGGACTGGTACCTTTGATGTGGTCAGCAGGACTGGTACCTTTGTTGTGGTCAGCAGGACTGGTACCTTTGTTGTGGTCAGGACTGGTACCTTTGTTGTGGTCAGCAGGACTGGTACCTTTGTTGTGGTCAGGACTGGTACCTTTGTTGTGGTCAGCAGGACTGGTACCTTTGTTGTGGGCAGCAGGACTGGTACCTTTGTTGTGGTCAGCAGGACTGGTACCTTTGTTGTGGTCAGCAGGACTGGTACCTTTGTTGTGGTCAGCAGGACTGGTACCTTTGTTGTGGTCAGGACTGGTACCTTTGTTGTGGTCAGCAGGACTGGTACCTTTGTTGTGGGCAGCAGGACTGGTACCTTTGTTGTGGTCAGCAGGACTGGTACCTTTGTTGTGGTCAGCAGGACTGGTACCTTTGTTGTGGTCAGGACTGGTACCTTTGTTGTGGTCAGGACTGGTACCTTTGTTGTGGTCAGGACTGGTACCTTTGTTGTGGTCAGGACTGGTACCTTTGTTGTGGTCAGGACTGGTACAGTGGCTTTAGTCTGGATGGTACTGAACCTCATACTGGACTTAGCTACTGGCTCTTTTGACTAAAGGTCAGTTACAGTAGTTAATCACTCAGGTAGCATTAGTACTTGTTTACATAGAGCTTAAAAAGGATGTTCTGACCAGTGGTCAATGACACAAGAATGTTAGTCAAGCCATAAACTAGCGAGTCAGCACAGTTGTTCCTTCAGGTTAGACTCAAAGTCCTCACATTCCCTGCCATATTCATCAAGCTCCTGTATGCATCTACACAATAGACTGACTATATTTGTACCATTTGTTTGTTGGGACCAGTGGCCAAGGATGACCATGGCCAGGGGTGACCAGTGGCCAAAGGAGACCAGTGGTCAAGGGTAACCAAGCTGCTCCTTGCCGCCACTGACCCATACTGTCCTGCTATTTGTTTCCATTTTAGTGCCACTAGTGTCCCCAGCGGATCCAGCACTGTCCAAGTCCCCGCTACCCTGGTCACCAACAGCTGCATCAGGAGTTGTCTCCCTCAGTTGGGTGCCAGATTTCTCCAGATTCTGGAAGCGCTGTTGTGTGTGTATCCACCTCTTGGTCTTACTGGCACTGTGGAGCTGGTCAAGTGAGGCGGTGTGACCAGAGGCAGAGCCCAGACCTGCACTCTGGTTTAACCTCATTTCCACGGTAACCTGGGGCGTAGAGAGACAAGAGCTTGTAGACTTAAAACGTGGGTTATTCTTCAGCTTATAGGACAATGGCAAATAAGATCCCCCCCCCCCACTAACAACTTTTCCAGTAAAATTATAGTATTATAGAGTTTAGGATTTACTATAAAATGACACCTGCTGGTGCATAAGAAAACCACAAACTTTTTGACATCTTTCTGTGTTTAAAAAATAGTCTTATACACTCTAAACTTACAGTAGGTGGATTTTCTTTTGAGTAGATAGAAGAAAATACTATGTTGCCATATTAAAGATTTGTGATAGCCCCAAACATTTGTATCTAACCATAAGATAAGACCTACCGGCTCAGATATCCCTGTGTTTGTTTTACCAAGGCCTTGTCCATCTTTCCAACCCATTTTGGCCAACAGCTTGTGACCTTTGTTTTCAGCAGAAATTGGGCTTTAAAAAAAGTTGAGAATTTGTCAGTGTAGAAGCTTACACTTTTTAAAAAATTGTATATAGTGAGATAACTCTTCTTAAAAGATTAAAATTGTTTTTCAATAAGAGCTAAGAAAATATTTAAATTGAGGCTACAAAGATGTGTATTCTTAAATTTAGGTTAAGGAGATATGTATGGCCCTATTTACCAGTAGACTTAATGGGATATGCACTGTTTTTTTCTATTTTTTACTATTTAAGATCTAAAGCCTTTAGACTACTTTTAACATGTTTGGCACATAAAAGAAAGTATTAAACAGCAAAAATGGGTTTGAAACAATTTCTGTTGTATTGGAAATCTGAAAAAAACATCTGCCATTTTGAATTTTTCGGTATTGCTTATATTTCTTTATATATTAAAACTTTTGTCATAACAACTTTTTGAAAAAATGCACTCGGATTAGTATGCGAAAGTTTTAAAATGTGCATATTTTTTTAACAAACTTTTTTCTATAAAAGCCTTTATATTGCTCTTGTGACAAAAGTTTTATTGTTACATGAAAAACAAATACAGAAGCAGGACACGAAAATACAGTTTTTGAGTAATTTTGGGTGTATCCGAGATGACGGAAAATATGATTATCGAATACATGAGACATCCAGCTTTCCAATGATGCCAGATACAATATGATGATGGATATTGAACTTTTTGAAGAGAGCGTGTAAGATTGGGAATAAAAATGATTATCTTTTTTTAATAATGGGGTCATAAAAATGTTATTTTCAGCAACTTAAATTTTTTTTTCTCCATAAAGTTATTATTTGCTTAATACAAAAATGGACAAAGAATCTAAAAGTGCAAGAAACACAGTATGATGAAAAATCAAGGTTTTGGTGATTTTTTTTTTTTTCTATGCATATCCCTGTAAGACTAGACTAGTTTGGTCGGCTGCCAGTAGACATAAGACTACATTAGTCTTGTGTCATTGACCATTAGTTTACCTGTTCCCAGTAAATGTAAGACTACATTAGTTTACCTGTGGCCAGCTAATTAGTTTATCTGTGGCCAGCTAATTAGTTTACCTGTGTACAGAGGCTGGCAGTTCATCCCGCCTTGTATGCTCAGCTTCACTACCAATGAACTTCCTTCTCAAATATGCCTTGTCACAATAGTCATCATTCAACTTGGTACCAGGGTTTTCAAAGTTGGAATTCTGAAGACGATTTTTAATCAAACTAATTAGAAGTATGTTATCCCACAACATTAATTAAATCAAAGAATTTTTAAAAAACATTTTGTATTTCTATGCACAATTCCTTTTACTAATGATCTAGCTATGGGACAGCATAGTCAGATGGTAGAATGATAAAATCGCTGGCCGTTAAGTTTTGAATCACATGCTCGACTTCATTCGTCCTAATGGCCACCAGGTTAAATGGGTAACTTTTTATTAATAAAGTTCCCTTCTGATCCTGATGGTCCATGGGGCAAGTGAAGTAGTAGTTTCTGTGACATGGCATAAGGGATGGTGTGGTCAGCACTAAGCTGACCCATCTTTCTTTAATGTGAGTTAGATTACCTGCAGTCCATACTTTTTCTTGATATTTTTTAACTCTTTCTTTTTCAGGAGCAACTTTTCTTCCTTTGATAATACTTTGTAGTCTGAAAATAAAATATTTTAAGCAATGGCAGAACTGCATAATGAGCTTATAATTATCATAACAGCAAGAAAATAAATTGCTCTATAACATTCAATTTACTTTAGAAGGAAGCTTTCAGTTTTTTTTGCACCCATTATGGAAATTAAAGACAGTAAATCAAAATGAAGCCATTATTACATGAGGATGTTGTAGTGAAGCATAATACTAGTTAAGAGCAATAATGAGAGAATATATAACTAAAGCTGAAAAAATATAATTTCATTGATTGAAATGAGATGTATCAGTAAAATAGACTCACCATTTTTAATTGGATTAAGTGCTTTTAATTTGGCCTGGACTAGCCCAGGTTCGCAATCTTCACAAGTTTCATAACCCTTGTGGATGTGGAGGAGAAGTTTGGTGCTGCCCAGCTGAAGGACATCACCATGTGACAGCTGGTTCTCGCAACTTTTGTCTCGGCTCTGCAACAACATATTTAAATTAAAATCAGGAAGTAACAGATGTAGAGTTTGTCTCAACACTGTAATAACATATTTCAATTAGAAATCAGAATGTGGCATTGAAAGCTTTATGAGCCTGCATTTTTTTGTATTCACAACCCCAGCAATAATTATTCAATTTTCTTTCCCTTTAGCATGATCACAGCCACCAAACAGATTGCCAAACTCTAATGCTGACCTTTGAAATTCTGTTTCCATTTAAAATTGTTCCATTCTGGCTACCCAGGTCAGAAAGAAGATAACAGTTATTGTCTGTGTCATATTGCACCTGCGCATGTACCTGCAAAAAGAATATAAAAAGTTGAGTTCAAGTTTTAAATAGCATCTCAGTTTAAATGATCTCAAACATGCTTCAAAATTCATTTGAAAAATTTCATATATCAAAGAGTTAGATACGATCAAAATTAATTTACAAGCTATTAGGCATTTTTTTTTTAAATCTCGTATCAAATTTCCAGAAGCTGCTCCTGAATTTGACGCTCCAGAAAAGTCACTTGCCTTGCTGACACTTTTGTCAGGTATTTCTAAAACATTTCCTTTGTTTTCTTCTCGTCCAATCATCCCACCAGCGCAGGTGATAATGTGTAGGGCACCCATCTGAAGGCTCTCAGACTCAAGAACAATAACTCTAATACATGGCGGGTGGTTGTCCGCTATTTCTGTGAAAGATTTTTTTAAAGTTAGGATATTTTAAAACTTCCACCAAAAACTGGATGTCTAAAAAAACGTTTGCTTAAAAACCAAGTGTAAGAGAAGTAACCAATGCTAGTGTAAGAGTTAAAAACACAAATTTTTGTTAAACAATATTAAACCAAAGCACCTAAAGGCTGATAATCAGACAACTCCAAGCCAGCTTCAGATGCTGAAACTTCTGCTTTGACGTCTAACATCTCAATATCAGAACTATCACTAGATAATTCTCCAGACTCTAGCTCTGATTCTCCTGTAGCCAGACTTCCTGATGATTCACTAGAGTTATCTTTATTTTCATCATCAACAGTTATCTCCTCTGTCAGTTCTTCTCTTTGCTCTACATCTGCTGTAGTGTCTGTTTTGGCTTTTGTTTTTTCCCTTTTATTCCTTCTTTCAACTCTGTCTTGTTTCTCATCCTCTTCTCCACTGGACACAGTGATCACAACTGAGCTAACTACTTTTGATACTGTAGACTTCAGTCTTCTTTTATGTCTCTTTTGTTTTACCCTTCTTCTTTTAGATAGCTTTAAGCCAGAACTGGCCCCAAACTCGCTTCCCTTGATCTGTAACAAATAAATAAATAAAATATGTTGGTACAAGCACACATAATTTTCAAAGGGATTTTAGATAATTACCTAATGCATTTTTCTGGCACAAATACAGGTCAATTTTCATGTTGGAAAGATCAGATGCTAAGCTGTCAATTACACTGGGGCTGTCTGTCCAATGATAAACTGACTGGAACAAAAGCAACTGGGTTAGGTTACTTCTTTTACAGAAAACAATTACGTTTATAATTACTAACCAAATAGTTTATTTTTAATTTTATTTTCAAATTATAAACATTGCTTTGTTTGGCGAGCCATAGAATAAATATTGCAAACAGCTAAAATGTTTTAATTATCTCTTCTAATGTTTGGTTTTTTCTTTTAATTAATAATCACTTTTTCTTCTTCTCAGCGCTTTCATACTTCAAATAGTTCAGTACCTTTATCTAAGCTCAACAAGTCTATTTAATTTCTAGTCTTACTTTTTCATCATGTTATGGTTTCATGTTTAGGTTTTAAGTTGGACTATACAATGTACGGTAAGTTATGACTACTACTGATCAAGAGACTTAAATGATTCCGTTAGAAACCCAGCTTTGTTCTTGTCACAACACCATAAACACTTTTTCTGTTGCATAATTAAAAATGTGTTTCTACATTCCTTTAAATAAAATTTAGTTATACGTTTAAAACATCCAACTTATTATTTTCAAAAAAAGTCTGTATTTTTATGTATTCCATTTATAGTTAAAGATAATATACTCTTATGCTTGGGACATGCTGATAGAGAGAGAGAGAGAGAGAGAGAGAGAGAAGTACACACATAGGCTTTTTTATATTAGGATAGAATAAGCAGGAGTTTGAAAATATACATAACATGGTAAATGCAAAGTTTAGCAGATCTAATTATTTGATCATGCTAGATGTAGGCTATGTGTTTATTAAGAGCATCATCACAGGTTTGACAGTAAATAACACAAGTAATAACAAAACAAAAATGTATATATTAAGTCTGGAAGATGTGAAATGATCTAATGCTAGAAATAACAGATAAATTAATTTTTAATTAATATAATGAATTATTTCTGCTGTATTTATGTGCAAAATTTAAAATCAAGCCCTTGAGTTGTTTCAGTCAAAATAACTTGAAATAATTAGATGTTCACTATAGTTTTATTACCTCCGAGTTACTTGATCCGGTCTTTATGTGTGCTGATGGCTCATTTACAACAGAATATAGTTTGTATTCACCAGTTTCTGAATCAAACTGATAATATGTCCCGGTTGTATAATCATAAAACAGCCCAGAATTCTGGAATGAAATTATTAAGTAAATTTTTTTTCTAAATTTAAAAGTGATTACACAACAAACTGGTTCCTGCACTAAAATCAACTTCTTCTTTAGGTGTTCAAGCTCAAGTGTAATCTTACCGGGTCCCAGTAGTAGCCTGTGGCAGGGTGGTAATAGAACCCAGATGTTGCATCATACACGTACTCCCCACTTGCATCTTTCATATCAGTATGTGTTCTATTTGTATTGCTGGGTGGGATTTCTGATGTAATCTTTTTTAATTCTTCCTCTGCTGCAGCTTTCAAACTTTCTGCTATTGACAGTGCACCAGTATTCTTTGAAAAAAATTATATTAAGAAGTTTAGTACTTAAGACAATGTTGACACAAAAAAAAACATCCTAAATAAGACAATGCCTCAACATGATAATATCTAATGTTCTTTTACAGCTAATCATAATTGGACCAATGTAAGTTATTTAGGCCTATTAATGTTTGTCTATATATTTTAAGTTTAGAACATGACGAATCTTTAAATTTCTTATTAAACTAACATCCGATTTAGTTTAGGCGCTTACAAAATAATTATTCATTATACAAGACAATATTGACACCACTGATTAAATTAACTTGAATCAACAGATCAAAATCACTTCATTTTATGTACACATTCTGTTGCATATTTCTTTAAGAATGATTTTAACCGACCAGTCAACATATCATTTTTTACCAGACATAAAAACATTTAGAATAATATTTTTTTGACTTACATCACTGACTGGCTCCCACTGTGGCATTGGTTTCAAACCATATGCTGAAAAATAAATAATAGGTTTATTTTACAGATGCCAGATTAAAACCTAGCTTGAAAGAAAGCATTAAATTCCTCTCGCTATTCACACAAAAAATGTTTTACTTCTATGAGCTCCAGAAAAATGTGGAAGCTATTATTTTGTGAATTTTGCTACTGACATTATATTTTGATAATAAATTTTATAACCTAATGTTTGTAGAAAAACTTAAATACAGCAACTATTAAATATTAATAGATTAGCAAGACTTATGGCACAGCTTTGTCTAGTAGGACTAGTCTGTGGGACATTTCAGGTTCACCCAGCTCTGATGGGTACCTAAAGCCTGTAGGACATTTCAGGTCCACCCAGCTCTGATGGGTACCTAAAGTCTGTAGGACATTTCAGGTCCACCCAGCTCTGATGGGTACCTAAAGTCTGTAGGACATTTCAGGTCCACCCAGCTCTGATGGGTACCTAAAGCCTGTAGGACATTTCAGGTCCACCCAGCTCTGATGGGTACCTAAAGTCTGTAGGACATTTCAGGTCCACCCAGCTCTGATGGGTACCTAAAGCCTGTAGGACATTTCAGGTCCACCCAGCTCTGATGGGTACCTAAAGCCTGTAGGACATTTCAGGTCCACCCAGCTCTGATGGGTACCTAAAGCCTGTAGGACATTTCAGGTCCACCGAGCTCTGATGGGTACCTAAAGCCTGTAGGACATTTCAGGTCCACCCAGCTCTGATGGGTACCTAAAGCCTGTAGGACATTTCAGGTCCACCCAGCTCTGATCGACTGATGGGTACCTGACTCAAGTTGGAAAGTAAAGGCAGATTGACATAGGACAGACCATAATATCCCTTATATGCTGTGATCTAGAAACAGATGAATTCTAACACTTCTGCCTTATATATGCTTCATCAGGTACAAATGGGGAACTTACTTTTAGGCCTGAGAATTGAAAGTTGCAACTCAATATTTGTTGATTGCTAACAAGGTATAATTTTAAAATCTTAAATGATGACTGAGGCAGTTGTTTTGCGTTTTAATGTGTCGTTTGGTGGATTTACTCACCTTCATCAATATCAGCAGCACAAACTTGAGTAGATGAGTTACACAAATGTTCAATTTTATTTTTAAAACAATGCAATTGTGAACTTATGGCTGAAAGTTCTTTACGTAAATCTTCATTATAACTGTTTGATCTTTCTAGAAGCCTTTCTGCCTTCGCCAAACATTTGTTTAATCTATCGATTTCTTTGTTTTTATCACTTATAATTTTATTTAGTTCAATTATTGAATTGCAATTGAAACTATTCTCTGTGGACGAATTTGTTTGTACTGCTTGACTGATAACAGAAAAGTCATCTCCATCCAGTTCACAACTGACTTCAGTTTCTTTATTAATATTTTTGTTAGGCATGGTTTCTCTACTAAGTCTATCACAATCATCATCATCATTTGCTTCAGCATCATTTTTATTTTTTTCATTTTCGACCAACAATAATTTCGTATTATTTGGCGGTTCCACCATGGTTATTCCAGATGAAAGTAGCTCACGGTTTTATTAAGATCTATCCTTAGGTTAATAACTATACAGTTAATACTTAGATCTAGATCTATACAATACAGTAACTTATTTTCATATTTAATATTTAAATATTTCTAGTTTTAGTTTCAGATTTTCTACTTGTCATCTTCAAGTTAATTATACGACAGTCGGTAGCAGTAGACTTTCTTAGCTTGGATTTCTCAAGCATTTAAAACGTCTACTTCCGGCTCAGCAGGTCCAAGTAAAAACACTAGACGTAACGCAAACCAGTAGCCGAGTAGGCCTAGATCTAGAATCTAGTCTACATCTAGATTATTGATAATATAGATCTAGATATTAGAGATAGATCTTAATCTAATCATTAGAGCTTGATCTATAAAGTTACAAGTCGCTGTACGGGATCTAGATCTAGATCCTAGATCTATTATAGTAAATAAATGGTAATTTAATTTGAATTTTGAATGATTGACTGGACGGACTGGTCTCTAGAGAGCAGAATCTACTTAGATCTAGATCTAGATCTCTAAGTCTTAAGTACTTAATAAGTACTTCTATTGAATCTATTCTAACTAGATCTAGATTAGATCTAATCTTATCTAGATTCTAGATTCTTTTTCTAGTCGATCTACTACTAGATCTAGAGATCATATTGATTGATTATTGATCTTCTAGTAGACTAGTACTAGATCTAGTTACTAGATCTAGATCTATTTCTAGATCTACTACTAGTTACTAGATCTAGTTATTCTAGTACTACAATACTAGAGTCAATACAGTTTCTGTTACTAACTAGATCTAGTAACTAATTAAATTACTAACTAACTTACTTAGTTACTAACTACTAGTAATGCTTACACAACTTATTAGGGAGGCTCACTAACTTAAAAGCGTCCTTGGTTGCTAACCAGAACATGGCGTAAGGATCGGACCATGACTTCCGGCGAGTTTTTCGACTTAGTTCCAGAGACCTTCTTAGAATTACTTTTAAAAATGTTTATCACGAGTAAAATGGCGGGTTTTCACGTTATAAAAACATGCTATAGGTGGCAAGGCTAAATATGCCAGAAAAGCATTTTCAAAAATTGCTTTGGGGGATGTTGGCTAAATTTAAAGTCGGTGTCATTCAAAATAATATAACTTTTTAAATATAGATTTCCATATCACAAAATTGATTTCCACAGTAAAGCATTATTAGTTTTATCATTCTATGAAAAAATAAATCAAATATCTTCAACCGTTTTTTTATAAGATCGACCGAGAAATGACAACCAAATTTTTTTTATTTTTTTTGACCACGTGACCGCTATTTGAATGGATACGTTTACCTGGCATGGTTTTTTTTTTTTGCTCTTTTGTACAATAAAAAATGTCATAAAATTCAAGAAATAAAAGAATTCAAAAATCACTTCTGTCTTGTCTTTTTTTTAATTCTTTTCTGATGACATTCTCTTAAATTTTTTTCCTCTAAAAATATTACCCGACGATAGACGGGCCAATTCTACTTTTAGGAACTCTCTTGTGAAAAAAAATTAGATCTATTTCACGGTCACTTAAAAAGTTAAACCTTTCAACTTTTAACCAGGTTGTCATGGATGATCCGTCATATCATAGCTGTGAGTGACAAATAAATTTAAAATTCAATAATTTAGTCTAAACTCGCTACAACCCCCAAATTTAGTGCCTAGAGGATAAAGTATGGACGTTTTTTATTCAGTTGTCATGTTTAAATTGAGAATTAAGTAGATTTCACAAATAGTAAGAAAAACTACAACTTATTACTATTTACTACTACTAATAATAATGTTAAAGTAGCCTAACTATAGTCTATAGTAAAATATAGGGTTGATTTTAGATACAGATGTCTGATAATAGACTCTTCCATAAAATAGGTGTGTTGGGTTGATAGTACTAATATTTAATATAGTCATAGTAGTATTGTAATCTCAACTTATTTTAGGGTTAGGCATATGGTAGGACTAGGGTTAGGGACAGGGTTACATTAGCCAGCCATGTTTGTATTTTGTTAATTACTAAATTACCAGTATGCTAATACCCCTTTTTTAAAGAAGATTCTATTTTTGGACACTGGTATAAAAATTCCGAAGTGACTACTCGGAAGATTTTTCTCCCCAACGTCTCCACTTAGTTGGCAAAAGATAGCTCTGCGCATGCGCAGTGACCTATGGCTAGGGTTAGGGCTAGAATGAGAGATAAGGTTAGGGATAGGATTAGGGTTGGTGTTAGGGTTCTGCTGTTGTCAACACACGCATGCGCAGTACCATAGAAAACATCGCCGCGAAGTTAAGTCGTAGTTTCTCTTCATTGCGCATGTGTATCGCATGCGTATCTTATTCTGGCTAGCATCGGCCTAAAAATTCCCCCCTAGTCTAGTACTCTAGTCTAAGAGCTAGCTACTGGCACGCTTTCAATACTTCCTCTATACTTCGTATATGACAAAGTAAACACAGAACAACCTCCATAATCCACCTACTAAACGACCCTCCAAATTATCTTCTACTTCCTAATCTTAAACTGAATACAATACTATTAATTAGTGTTAATTAAACTGTCAATGTTTGTTTTTCTTAATTCTAACTTAGGTGTCTATTAACATTTATTTAGATGTAGAGTATCAAACTATCAACTTGTTGATGCCGTTCACAAATTTCTCTATTTAATTAAATCCAGGCCTCTTCAATGCCACCATCATGGGGATCTCCTGCATCTGGGGCACCCAGTTCACTCCAGAGCAGTCCTATAGGCAACAATTCACAAGAACGTACTCAAAATTCCATGCGTGGCCATAGGCAAAATCCCTACACACATAACAGAGGCAGAAACTTCAGTCCCAACCACATCAGTCAAGACAGGTCTCAGAATGACAGCACGACAAAGACTTTCCCAAAACCCTGTCAAAACTTTAGCCAGGGAAACCCATTTCAGGACAGTGGGAAAAAATTCAGCAATAATAATCCATTCCAGAATGTAGGATCCAGTTTTAGTCCCAACAGTGGTTCACAGGGCAGGGGACAGTTTACTAGCCCAAGCAGTATTTCACAGGGCAGAGGGCAGTTCACTAGCCCAAACAGTTTTTCACAGGGCAGAGGGCAGTTTACTAGCCCAAACCAGCAGAGATCTCACTTTCAGTCCCCTGCTAACTACAGCCCTCACACTCCAGCCAGAGGGTACCAGAGCTCCCCTGCAACTGGATTCCAGAATGAATTTGCTGTAAATATGTTTTTAATTCATTTTATACATACGTTATTGGGTTTTTAAAATTCATTTTTGTGATTGTAATATGTAAACAAACAAATTGCTAGCTATCAATGCAGTTATTTTATTTTTAGTTATTTACAGATTTATTTTATGTTAATTTAGTTATTTTATATATATTTGTTTTATTTTTTAGAGACCAAATTCACGAAGGCAAAAGAGTATGAACAACATCCAAGATTACATTTCTTCAAGTATGTTGGATGATCCATGGAAAAATTTACCAGCTACCCCCATTGTACAGTCTTATTAATGTCTTTTTATGATTGTGTGAGAAAAAAGTTGTACATTAATATTTTCCTTTAAAATGTCAATGTATGTTTTGGAACAAAATCTAATTTCTTGTGAATTAGCATGGTAGTCTGTACTAGTAGTAAGTGCTATATTTTAGCATTCACATACATTTATTTTGTATGCTTACTACCTAGTATTTTAACTTTGGTGAGATTTCAACAAGAGGATGATTAGTTAACTTAACTAAGCAAGTTGTTTTTTTGAAATTTACAGTGTTTTGTTACCTGTAGATATGTAGATATTCAAATAAAAATGACTTTTCACATGTACTCAATTACACTGGAACATCTTTTCTTTTTAACCATTATGTAATTATTGCTTTATACCATAATTTCATAGACATTTTTCATCTACATGCCACATTTTTTAATTCTGAGTCTATTTTTAAGAGTGAATTTCAGAACCTTCTGAATGTCATTATGTCGTGATACTGTTAAACTGTCAGTATACGAATGTCATTGACGATGCTGTGGCCTAGCTGTAGAGCACTAGACTGCTGACCCAGGAGTCTCGAGTTTTAATCTGGGTTCAGATCAGTAGAATGTCCCCGAGTCCACCCAGCTCTTATGAGTACTTAGCTTGCGTCAGGAAAACTTCATCTGCCCCATGTGTCTTGGACACAAACTAGCAAAGATGATATGAATGTCATTATGTTTGCATGTTGTGACAGTTTTGAACTGTCAACCAGCAGAGCACACCTGACAATCCAGTCATTTTTAGATGGTCTGAACTAAGGCCCCTAGCCACTCACTTCCAGCAAGGATGTCAAGATTTTGTAAGCTATTTTCATATCAGACTACCATATTTTTTTTAATGGGGAACTGACCATACATTTCTAATAGTGGAAAATTTGATACAAGACATGAAAGAAAGTCAAATGAACCGTACAAATGTAAGTGTAGTTGAACCATACATTTTATTTGAAACAATGCTACCTTCAACAAGCAGTATATTAGTAGACTAGTGTACTATGTTTGTTAATATCCTCTGAATAGACAACATTCTAAGTATGTTTTGTTATAGTCCTCACAGATAGTCCTCACAGTTCATTGACATTTAAATATTTTTTGTGTATAAAAAATCACATCAATGCAATTAAAGTAAAATTGTAAAGGAAACAAATAAAAGTGTATCATGAAAGAACAGGGCAATAAAGCCAAAAATATAAATATGTACAATAAGACTTGATATGTCTGAATACAATACCCAAGGTGTTTTAGTATTTACAAGATATACAAATATCAGTTTAGTCCTACATAGAAACATGTCAAAGGTCATTTAATATATACATCATTACATGTCATCTCAAATGTAGTGTTATACTGTTATAGCCAAGTAACACTGCTGTTTTATTATACAGTACAATACGAACGTAGTCATATTTTTGCTCTACCTCGAGGTATGAGTTGAGGCAATACAACTGAAATCTAGCCATTTGTTGGCACATCTTTATATCTGTAGACATCACCATTCAGAGACCACACTATTCATCTGTGAAGAGTTCATCTTTTTGACGAACCGGTAGGAAATGCTGTGGACATTTTAAAATTTGGTCAGCTCTTAGAATGACCATCAAGGAATGAAAATATGTTTAAAAAATTCTAATAGGTTGGGGTCTAGCATTATGGCGTTATGCTTTACAAATGTTGATTGAGTGAGGTGGAATTCTGCTAAAATATTTTCTGATACCAAAACTTAACTCCTTAGAATTGTCATGCTATGACCCTATGATTCATATTTTTATACTTATATATACTAGTTAGTCATTCGTGATTCGATATGAAACATGGATACCCCAAAAGATTGGGCACATATTTGTTATAAGTGTAACATACGGGGGGGGGGGATTTGCCCTACCACATAAACGACTGCAGGCTTACATCATTACCGCCTACAACTTCTCAGTCGTGTACAACATTTCCAGAAATCCTCTCTCCCCACAGTTCTCCAAACAACGGCACTATTCAAAATACCGAGGCTACTAGTAAACATTCAACCCGCCTAGACGTCATATATGGCTGACCCACTGGTCACCCAACTCAACCATTTTAAATGACCGAGATTTCGCCCAACTATGAAAACAAAGTGATAGACCAACCCCACTTCCCACCTTACAAAAGAAAAAACCACCACCCCGTCTTCAAGTTCTATTCGTGTAGGGCCTACAAGGATGGTCCAAAAAGTCAGCGTGATAAAATAGCTAAAACATGAGACAAGTTAAACGTACGTATCACAGAACACGCTATATGTGGCATTTTAAAAGTCGGAAATGCGAGAGATACTATCCTCAGTTTACAAAGAAATGTTTTGGGTAGGAGGGCCCAACACTTTAAGATAACGGACACTCAGAATATATCCACGATTTGAGGCTAGCGTTTAGAAAATGTGATGATTTAAAGAAAAAACTGCGCTCCACGTCTTACTTGGGTGCTATCATGCTGATACCGTAGACGTGAGGGTATCACACCTAAAGATTAAAGACGCCAAGTAGTAGAAAACAGAAAGAATAGGACATAAGGTTGTAGACCATATTTTAGACATTAATTTCCAGAGCAGGGGACGGGTCGGAGGGGCACCTGAAACTTCCCGGGGCTTACTTAAATTTATTTAAAAAATGGGGGACGGGACGTGCACATTTGTTAAAGTATAATTATATTTTCTATAAAAGAATTTTTAAAATTTCTGTCGGGGGGGGGTGGGGTGGCAGTGTTTCTTCCTTTTTGGGGGTGTATAGGTGGACCGAAAGCTTTTAATTGCGTCCCCCCCCCCTCCCTCCCACAATCCCCAGAGAAAAATGTCTGGAAAAATGCACGGATTCAGATATCTCATACCAAGGACGAATACATATGAAACATTGATTTTAAAAAAAAAAATTAATGACGATCTAATGAATCATAATTTTTCACCAGTGAAAAAGTCATAGGATTTTACCTGATGGCCACCATAGCAGAGCAAGCGCGCGACTGGGTTGGTGGGGCGTGACGTCACAACCTCTGTAGCCTCTAAACTAGCAATATCATCCAATTCATTTTCATCGTCTGTTATTTCTTCATCCATACAATACTTTAACAAGTCACTGCAATCAGGTAGAGATGGTAATCGATTACGCAAGTCTCTCCGATCTTCCCGCAGGTCACGACATTCATCAGACAATACTCCTGTGTTAATATCGTCATATTCAGTAAAAGCGGTATCGATTAGAGTGTCTTCACGACTTTCAGAAAACTCACAAAGCCTGTCCTCTAGATCAGGAATATCACAAAAACCCATATCCCGACCCAGCAGATTCTCCGTGACTGTCATCTCTTCAAGTGGCTGCTCGCTACATTGGTACTGCTCCTTACTTTTTGTGGCATCATGTATCGATACGATGCTTCCTTTACGATACTTCAGTAATCGCCGCGGCTGGGGACACCTGATCTGCGAGAGTTGGACGAGAAAATCTCGTAAGGCGAGTGACGTCCACATGGGCGGCTCCTGTCTGTAGGCGTAGCTTGGATGATGTATAGTCTGCTCGTGTGAGTTCACAGTTGGGGATGACATGCGCAGAGAATCGAGTATAGACCAATTATTTTTTATACTAATCAGATTCGTTGCATCGATAGATTCAAATAAATTGACCATTATCCTTTTTGTGTTACTACGTACTGTAGCTACATTTTTGTTTATAGTTTCGGAGAAATTCATGTTCTCGTCAAAATCATTGGTTTTTTGCTTTTCGTTAACTTGATGTCCTTTGTTGAAAGTGCTGGGACTGGGGTTTAAATTTGTCAACGAGCTGCTACTGAAGTATTTACTGCTGCTTATATTTATACCGTCACATTCTGTAGTCTGAACCACTGGTTCGTTGAGCGGATGATGAGATCGCTGGTTGTATGTCTGACTCATGTTTGGGCAGACGTCACTAGGTGGCGCACTAGAGCAGCTGATGACGTCAGCCTGACTCACGCTCGTATCTGTACACGCGTCACTAGATGGCGCTTTAATGCAGTTTGATGCATTGCAGTTTTCCAACATATTTGCTGGTGCATCTGCCCAGTCAATGTCCATATCGTCTGATCCATTTCCCCACAATCCACTGCGCTCCGCGGGCTGCTCACCGCCCGGAGATGCTCTGTGGCGAGTCTCTGTGTTTGGACAGTGGTCACTCGCGTGTCCAGTGTCTGGTTTCTTGTCCTCCTGGCTCGCCCCAGATGTTGCCATTATCATCTGCATTCCTTCCTTCTCTGTCAAAACAAAACATTGGATGCTGAGATGAATTATATAATAAATTGAAAATCACCCGAAAACAAAACGACACTGAACAATGATATTATTAGGTCTAGGAATTATCCTCAGTATTCTTTTAAAACAATAGCGTCATAGAATCACAAACATTTGATATGTCATTGTAAATAATTTTGAAATACATTTAAAATATTCTAAACAAAATATTCTCATTTAAACGATATAAAACTGCCAAAACCAAAATCCAAATGAAATAGAATAAATTAAGAAAACCTGCTTAAGTGGCCACCCATAAATGACACATCAAAATGTCGGGGAGGGGTTCACACTTATGTAGGGAAGTGCTCGTTTGCGGTAGGAGTTGAGCTTAAATATGTCGCAGCAAATGTCTGTTAATGATGAAAACTGACAATTTTTGTTAAGGCTTGGGTTATTTCAAGGGTCAATGGAAGGTACAGTTTGAAACATTTAGGGTTATTTCTAGGGAAGGCGGAGTTATGAAACATTTAAATATTTGGGGTACTTACCTTTTTTGTGAAGACTATGACAATAGTGGGGTGGAAAGGTAACAGTCGAAGTTTGTGTGCAGGTAAAAAAGGGTTATAAAGTTAGCAGATTAAGTACTAAATCTCAGCTATGTCTATCATGGGGTGAATACTTTATTTTCGGAAATTATTTTTAATACTATGTAAAATCTCTAAGTGATCACGGAGAAGAAGAGATCGCTAGCCTCATGTGGGAGCACATAAGGAGAGCAGCCAAATACAGAGTCCAGTGGAGAGGTGTGGTTGCTGCCCTTTGCTCCCCAGGTGCCACAATGGGTTAAGTCAAGTTTTTAATTTCACATTTTAAAAAATAAATAAAATGATTACAAGTATCGAGTTGAATAATACACCAGACGTAGCAAATTTAAAAATGCGCGGTGGAAACAAGCCAACATTGAAATCAGCATCGATTCTCATATTTAGACAAGTTTAAATCAGAATCGATTCTCATATTTAGACAAGTTGAAATCAGCATCGATTCTTATATTTAGACACGTTGATATAGGTTATCTGAAGCTGTTTTATTTTTACAAAAACCCACCAGATAATTCATTATCTAATTAATAGCTTCATCGAATGTGCGTAAATTCTGTGGAATGTTACTTTAATGGTGCCAAAACTATGGGCATCTGGCGCCAAATCTGGAGCCAGTACATCAACGGAGATGTGCGTTGTCTGCCTTTAGCACATCGATAAAGCAATCTTTTGATTAGCGAGTTATGCCCCTGTATTTGGACCAATCCCAGACTGTAATGAGCGCTAATGTAGCCATGTGCTCGTGCTAAAATTACATTAAGACACTTTACATGATGCAGAAAACTGCCGTCAAAGTATGTTGTAGTTCCAGAGATAGGAAACACATTGCCAGCGCCAAATGGCATACATGTGATCTGCACGCGAGACTGATGACCACAGGCCGATCTAAAGATGCCCTGGCTGAGGACCACAGGCCGATCTAAAGATGCCCTAGAACCTATCCATTTAACGTCACAGGTGGTCATTGCATGTACCAAACAAATAGACCCTTCGCATCAGTATACTGGTTCTAACCTATCCCACGCCTAATAATTTTATTATTATTCTAACCCTTTGGTTTTTGAATTATCGATTTCACTTTCAATGAGCCGTGATAAGTTAAAACAGAAAAGTGCCATATCTTAAGGCCGGTCTGTCTGGTTGTTTGAACACAACTTTGATTGGCCAGAAGAGGTTGAGCTCTAAGGTAGGCTGGGGTGGGGTGAGGGGGTAATAAAGACACAACGACGCAGCTAACAACGACGTGATTTTGTGTAAGGGAGCTTTGTAATTAGTCAAACTGAATATGGGCAGTTCTAAAACAAGTGGCAACTAGGAAATGAGAAGGGGGGGGGGGGGGATTGAAGAGTGAGGGATATATTTTAAACTGTTAATAAAACTGCAGCTAAAACTACGAACTCAATCATTCGTCTAGCTAATTCAGCCAATTTTATTTTTGTCAGATATAATTTGTCTAGCTAATTAGCCAATGTTATTTCTGTCAGATATAATTTGCCTGTCTAGTTCAGCCAACTTTCCCCCACCACCCAACTAAATAATTTGTGTCGATGATATCCAGGGTTTCTTTCAGATATTTTTCTCCGGGGGACGGGGAGGAGCCCTTGTAATGTCTAGGGGCGCGATTAAATTTTGCAAGGGATTGGACACAAGTTGAAATAAGGGGGAGAAGGGGGGGCGTGTTCCCCGGTGGGGCGGAGAGATGCCTGAAAGAAACTCTGCTGATACTAAACAATGGTATCTCTGCAGCACACACAAGTGCATAATAATCTAAGTAATGAAATGAACTTTTTCTCACATCTGATCTTTAGCAACTTTAGTTAACATTTTTTAACAAATCGAAATGTAACTTACCATTAAATATTTTAAATGATCCATTCCTTTTGATCAATCACACGCAACAGCAGATAAAAAAAAACCACAAAAAAAAACTAACGCCTTGAAGTTTTTCTCCCGCTGAAGAGACTTATGACATAAGCAAGACCATTCTGGATCCATGGCAATGTTTCCAGCCAACTACCTGCAGCTCGCCAGGTGAAGAAGCGTGGGAAAACACCGTTCTGTTTACCACAAGAACGTAGGTATGAACAGGGTTGGTGGGGAGGGGGTCATTCTAAAGACATCGGTGCCAAAAAAAATGGCGGGATGCTGGCATAGGGCCCGGGGAGGCGACGCGCACGTAAAGGTGTAAAGATAATATTATTTATCGGTAATTAGAATGGGCGCTTCTTTGGAATCAAGCAGGGCTCGTAAAATATTGGGCAGTCGAAACAAGCGAAACGTCGAACAATGGGCAGCGCTTGAGGGCATACCACACTCGTACGTCAAACACTGGGCACTGGGCAGCGCTAGAGGACATAACACACCCGCGAATGTAGAAGAACTTGAGTACAACTGGTCGAGATTTTATTGTCTTTATCACGTAGTATTGGTGGTATAGTTTTTCGAGAGTGTGGTTCATATACCCACCAACTCAGAACATCAATGTAACAAACAACATATCAGATTGAACGACAGCACATCAGATGTGAGTGACACCTTTAGCCTCCCCTCCAATTATACCAATAATGATGTCAACTTCTCTGCAACAAAATCAACACACACACACACAAAAACTTCACAGCCCTCTTGTAGCGCACACCAGATTCTGATGTTGATAATTTGTGTTTAATGTAAAATTAGTTAATAAAAAACGTCAGCCTTTGCATTCTTTTGTGGTATTTCAGTTAAGTGCGGGGAATATCAAATTTCAAATACATTCCAGAGAGAAGGCATTGCCAAAGTTGTTTTATATGCACACACTTTTTTTTTAAGATTGATAACAGATGAAAAAAAACATCTAGTTTTTTTTTAATGGCGCCAACCTCACTTAAATCATCAAATGGTATCGATATTTGTAAATAGCAGGTGTGCTACAAATATACCTACTCAAACATTTCATACACAGCGGCGTAGCCTCAATTATTCCTTCCTTTACAAACTTTAAGGCAGAATCTTAGATTACATCGCACATGTTCAAACATCAAAACCACGAGATTTCTAGTTCTGCTAGCCTACAGTTTTATTCTTTAATATGATTGTGTTTTGTGTTGGGTATTGATACAAACGGTATTGACATGCAGTGTAATGTAGCTTTAGATTAGGGTTGCGCATGTTAGTTTCGTGGTAATTTAAGTTATTTGGACTCTAATGGCGTGGCATCATATACTTTTAATTAAGAGTAATATTTTGTTTTTATAAATACATTTTTTACTTGAAAAAATTAAAGACCCTTTGTGTAGGCCACAGGAATGTAAGGGAAATGAACGCAAAGTTAAGAAAACTTGAGAAAGTTGACGTTATGTAGGCCCTAGTTGATTTAATGATTTAATGTAGACCCTAGTTGACTTAATGTAGACCCTAGTTGACTTAATGTAGACCCTAGTTGACTTAATGTAGACCCTAGTTGACTTAATGTAGACCCTAGTTGACTTAATGTAGACCCTAGTTGACTTAATGTAGACCCTAGTTGACTTAATGTAGACCCTAGTTGACTTAATGTAGACCCTAGTTGACTTAATGTAGACCCTAGTTGACTTAATGTAGACCCTAGTTGACTTAATGTAGACCCTAGTTGACTTAATGTAGACGTTAGTTGACTTAATGTAGACGTTAGTTGACTTAACGTAGACAATAGTTGACTTAACGTAGACCCTAGTTGACTTAACGTAGACCCTAGTTGACTTAACGTAGACGTTAGTTGACTTAATGTAGACCCTAGTTGACTTAATGTAGACCCTAGTTGACTTAACGTAGACGTTAGTTGACTTAACGTAGACCCTAGTTGACTTAACGTAGACAATAGTTGACTTAACGTAGACCCTAGTTGACTTAACGTAGACCCTAGTTGACTTAATGTAGACCCTAGTTGACTTAATGTAGACCCTAGTTGACTTAACGTAGACGTTAGTTGACTTAATGTAGACGTTAGTTGACTTAATGGAGACCCTAGTTGACTTAATGTAGACCCTAGTTGACTTAATGTAGACCCTAGTTGACTTAATGTAGACCCTAGTTGACTTAATGTAGACCCTAGTTGACTTAATGTAGACCCTAGTTGACTTAATGTAGACCCTAGTTGACTTAACGTAGACGTTAGTTGACTTATCGTAGACCCTAGTTGACTTAACGTAGACCCTAGTTGACTTAACGTAGACCCTAGTTGACTTAATGTAGACCCTAGTTGACTTAATGTAGACCCTAGTTGACTTAATGTTGGTCCTAGTTGACTTAATGTAGATTCTAGTTGACTTAATGTAGACCCTAGTTGACTTAATGTTGGTCCTAGTTGACTTAATGTAGATTCTAGTTGACTTAATGTAGACGTTAGTTGACTTAATGGAGATCCTAGTTGACTTAATGTAGCTCCTAGTTGACTTAATGTTAATCCTAGTTGACTTAATGTTGGTCCTAGTTGACTTAATGTAGACCCTAGTTGACTTAATGTAGACCCTAGTTGACTTAATGTAGCTCCTAGTTGACTTAATGTAGCTCCTAGTTGACTTAATGTAGATCCTAGTTGACTTAATGTAGACGTTAGTTGACTTAATGGAGATCCTAGTTGACTTAATGTAGCTCCTAGTTGACTTAATGTAGCTCCTAGTTGACTTAATGTAGACAATAGTTGACTTAATGTAGATCCTAGTTGACTTAATGGAGGTCCTCGTTGACTTAATGGAGGTCCTAGTTGACTTAATGTTAGTCCTAGTTGACTTAATGTAGGTCCTAGTTGACTTAATGTAGGTCCTAGTGAGGTATAGAGGAGCAACGTAAAGAGGATGGGGTAGTCAGGAGATATTGTATGGGGAGTAAGGGCTCGGGAGTCTGGAGAGAAAATGTTTGGGGTACTCAGACGTGACGTCATCTATAAACTGAAAGGTAAGGCGATCGGGGGATTTAAAGAAAGGGATCAGTTAATTCAAAGAAAGGGATCGGTGGAATAAGAGATATATTCTGTGAGAGCAGTCATTTAATCGTCGAGTTGAGAAATCTAGGAACATGTGGGGGGCGTGAACTTGAATTTGTCCACGGAGAGCTGTCCGCTGTAAGAGTGAAATGACCCACATCTCTCCTAGAAATTACATGACAATTAGCAACTTTAAAAAATAAGGGAGACAACTTTTCAAGACAGCCATAACCAACAGTTTTACCCTTGAACCCATCCACATCCTGCCACCAGATGACGTAACAAAATTTCAAAACCCCTTCTTAAAAGGACGTCACAAATACTCTTGTCTTTATCCTTTGCGTCGTTAAAAAATCCATGATGCAATTTTAATGATGCAATTAACGTCGAAATTCAGTTTCAAAATATATTTTTAATGTAAAAAAAATATCGTCACACTAACTGAACTACCCTCGTCACAAAGGTCCGATTCTTCTCCCCCCCCCCAGAATATTGTCAATTTTCTGCCAATTTTCTGCAAGTGCTTGTCTGTGAGAGTCTACGGAAGCAGAGGCGTAGCGAGGGGGGGGGGGCGGATCCGGGTGACACCATTTAGGGGTGACACCAAGGCAAAAAATAGCAAAATATATAGAGAAAAACTTGAAGGGGGGGGGGTGCAAATCGACAGTTTGAGGGGGGTGCAAAATCAAAAGTTTGAGGGGGGGGTGCAACGAAAACTTGAAAGTTTGTCCCCGGGAAGGGTCGCTACGCCTCTTGGGGGTGACACCATTGAGTGCCGCACCGGGTGATACCCGACCTCGCTACGCCACTGTATGGAAGTACAACCTCTCGAGTTGAATTTGAATTCATCTCGCTTGAATTTGAATTCATCGCATTTGAAATCATCCCGCTTGAATTAAGATATCTTACCTCTAGATTAGACCACTAAGAATAAACAATAGCTGTAGTAGTAATCCAGAATTTACGAGAAAGAAATGCTATGCTAGTCTTAAATTTGTCACTCAAAAAGCGATTACAGAGCACACATACACACAAACACGTCATTATAGGGCACACACGAGCATGAATACAAGTCATTCAATCGCCGTGTAATGTGTTGTTTACATCACACGGTCTGTTCATGTTTACTTCTAGATCTAGTAAATGATTCAACAGATATAAAGAAATCACGTGACCTATGGGTTAAACATTTCTGTGTTGTCTCCATTTTTCCCAAACATTTAAAATAACATTTTTCGGCAGCTTTTTTTGTGTGTGTAAAAGAGTTGAAAGCAAAGTGTTGAGTAAGATTATGAGATAGGATGCTATATTGTACCTGTACGAAATTCAGGCGGAGGTCAATTTCCCACGGTCTAAGCACCACAGGTAGAGAGATGAGAATAAGGGGGGGGAGAACAGTGGCACCTGGTGTAAACAGTCTTTTCGTGAGTGGCCCACTCTATGCCAGGTCATTTCGAGGGAGGAATGAGTAGTTCTTGAACATGACTGCTTGTAGTTACTATGTTGTTCTAGAACATGATTGCCAGTTCTGAAGTCTGAAATATAATTGTGTTCTTGGTATACTGGTACATCACGGTACAAGGTACATGCCACTTGCTGGCAGAAATGATGTAGGATGCAGTCTTTAAACAAACATTTAGATCAATGTTCCATTTGTTTTGATAAGTGGGGTACTATACAGTTTGGCGGGTTAGAAAGGTAATCTAGGTGTGGTAGTTTTGTGTTGGTGGGGTTAGGGTTGGGTGTGGTAGTTTTGTGGTGGTAGGGTTAGGGTTGGGTGTGGTAGTTTTGTGGTGGTACGGTTAGGGTTGGGTGTGGTAGTTTTGGTGGTAGGGTTAGGGTTGGGTGTGGTAATTTTGTGGTGGTAGGGTTAGGGTTGGGTGTGGTAGTTTTGTGGTGGTAGGGCTAGGGTTGGGTGTGGTAGTTTTGTGGTGGTAGGGCTAGGGTTGGGTGTGGTAGTTTTGTGGTGGTAGGGCTAGGGTTGGGTGTGGTAGTTTTGTGGTGGTAGGGCTAGGGTTGGGTGTGGTAGTTTTGTGGTGGTAGGGCTAGGGTTGGGTGTGGTAGTTTTGTGGTGGTAGGGCTAGGGTTGGGTGTGGTAGTTTTGTGGTGGTAGGGCTAGGGTTGGGTATTGTAGTTTTTTGTAGGGAGGGCTAGGCTATATAAATTCTATTTCGGTCAAGGGAGAGTGGGGGGTGAGGTAGCCGAAGAGTTGCGTGGAAGAAGCTTGCACAGAAGTTGCATTTTAAATTAAGTTAAATCGTAACAAATAGCCATTCCATATAATCAGTGTTTCTTTCAGACTTTTTTCTCCGGGGGGAGGGGGGGGATTTGGTATTGGGGGGGGCGACTATATATATAAATTTAATTTCGTTTGGGAGTGGGGGCGGTTAACTTACTTCGGGGAGGGGGAGGGGCTGCATATAAGGCGTAGACGTACACCATCCTTGCAATAGCAACACGTAATGAATACTTGAAGTTGCATCATTGACCACGTGCTATGTGTGACAGCCTCGAAGTCAAGCGCTTATTAAAATATTGCAGTTCTAAACCGCAAACGACCAGAGGAGAACTAGAATCTAGATCTACAGATCTACTCGAAAGCTAGATCGAAATCTACGCGACCTCACAACATCACCAATTAAGTATTTCCTCGGAGCCTTGTGATACAACATAAACATTTGTCGTTAAGGCTGCATGCTGTCCGCCTACTAATGTAAGCTCTTAATAAATGTTGGTCTCTAGACTAGATCTAGAATCTAGATCTAGACCTAGATCTAGATCTGTAGTAACTGTAGTATCATAGTCTGTCTTTTCACAGGTTACAAGATTGAGATGGTCATGACATAGACCCATTTCTAGATCTAGGTCTAATTTATATTTATATCTAACCCACGGTTAACAAATAGGTTATGTCGAAAATTACTTTCTATGTGATAGATCGGTAATCTATCGTTTTGGGTACGTAAAATCGCCCGCGGCTATTTATGTACGAAAACGTTACCTCATTGTCAAGGCTTTAATAGAAGTAAATTGTCGTACTTTTGTGTCAAATATTATAGATAAATGAATAATAAACCTAAATCAATGGCTAAATATATCGATATAGGCCAGAAATTAACTTTAAACAGCAGTGTCTGAGAGCAAGATTTGCTATGTAAACAGCAGCCATTTGTAAAATAGAGTGGCTTCCCCCTGAATCTGGCGCTAAAAGCTTATAAAAATTAAACTTAGACAAGATGGCTGCTATAGTAAATGAGCATGGTTGCATCTGTTGGAAACATCGCTAGACTTCATTTATTACGGGAAAGTTTTAATTCAATTGTTTAAAAACAGGTACATAAATGAATCAAGGAAACATTTTTGAATTTTTTAAAACATAAATCCTCCCCAAAATGTGAAATAATTATTAAAATGTAAGGAGTCACCTGTTTTTCACATTACAAATCGCGGGCGATTTTACGTACCCAAAACGATAGATTACCGATAGATCTATATCTAGATGATTTATTTAGTTAGATTTAGATCTAGATCTAGAATATGAATCTAGATCTATAGAAAGATTGTATAGATAGCTTTAGATCTATTAATTTTAACGAATCATTCGTAGCTCTACTACTTGTGTATTTGTAACAAAGGAGAGTGCATAGTTTATAAGTTTATCATAAATCTCTTTAAATCCTGAGCTTGCATTTTTTTCCCTTTGATTACAATTTACATCTAGATCTACATGTTGACGTCATGTTGCCATCATTAATTACCCGTCAGAGGCGTAGCAACCCTTCCGGGGACAAACTTTCGATTTGCATCCCCCTCAAACTTTTGATTTGCATCCCCCCCCTCAAACTTTTGATTTGCAACCCCCCTCAAACTTTCAATTACTTTTTCCAACCCATTTTGGCGCCCCCTAAGGTCGGCGCCCGGGGACATATGTCCCCTCCCCCCCCCCCCCCCATCGCTACACCTCTGTTACCCGTAGACATTAAGATATTTGATTACCCCTAGAAGCCCTAGATGTTACCATCTGATTACCTCTAGAAGTTACCATCTTTAATTACCCCTAGATCTAGATGTTAACATATTGTATTACCTTTAGAAGTTACCATCTTTAATTACCCCTAGATGTTAACATAACTTATTACCTCTAGAAGTTACCATCTTTGATGACAGCAAGATGTTGCTATCTTTGATTACCTCTAGATCTAGATGTTGCTATCTTTGATTACCTCTAGATCTAGATGTTGCCATCTTTGATTACCTCTAGATCTAGATGTTACCATCTTTGAATACATCTAGATGTTGCCATCTTTGATTACCTCTAGATCTAGATGTTACCATCTTTGAATACATCTAGATGTTGCCATCTTTGATTACCTCTAGATCTAGATGTTACCATCTTTGAATACATCTAGATGTTGCCATCTTTGATTACCTCTAGATCTAGATGTTACCATCTTTGAATACATCTAGATGTTGCCATCTTTGATTACCTCTAGATCTAGATGTTACCATCTTTGAATACATCTAGATGTTGCCATCTTTGATTACCTCTAGATCTAGATGTTACCATCTTTGAATACATCTAGATGTTGCCATCTTTGATTACCTCTAGATCTAGATGTTACCATCTTTGATTACCTCTAGATCTAGATGTTGCCATCTTTGATTACCTCTAGATCTAGATGTTGCCATCTTTGATTACCTCTAGATCTAGATGTTACCATCTTTGATTACCTCTAGATCTAGATGTTGCCATCTTTGATTACCTCTAGATCTAGATGTTACCATCTTTGATTACCTCTAGATCTAGATGTTGCCATCTTTGATTACCTCTAGATCTAGATGTTACCATCTTTGATTACCTCTAGATCTAGATGTTGCCATCTTTGATTACCTCTAGATCTAGATGTTGCCATCTTTGATTACCTCTAGATCTAGATGTTGCCATCTTTGATTACCTCTAGATCTAGATGTTACCATCTTTGATTACCTCTAGATCTAGATGTTGCCATCTTTGATTACCTCTAGATCTAGATGTTACCATCTTTGATTACCCCTAGATGTTGCCATCTTTGATTACCTCAAGTTGTTACCATCTTTGATTACCTCACACATACACTTTAATGCCATGAAGTAGAGGCACTTCACACTTAAAATGAATCACAAGAATACATTGTTTTTGAGAATGTATTGCCTTCCTTGAACATGTAGTTTTGTTGTTACTACCCTGTAACATTTTCTATTTAGCTGCCACAAAATTGTTATAGAAAACAGTTAAATCAGTGTGTAAAACCTTGTAGTCGTTTATTTTTGTAACTTTGACTGTATAATTCAATACTTCAGCTTAAAATGAACTTTTAAATTACTTTTTTACACCTTTTTTGCTCCCCCTTGGGGTCGGCATCTGGGGCTGCCGCCCCACCCGCCCTCCCCTAACTGCACCACTGAGAATAGTGCCAGCTTATGAAATAGGTATCTTGTAAAGATGTTAAATATGCATGTGTATCACCACTTCTTGTTGAATTAAATTGAGAGTGGTCTACAGTAAATCTTTTTTTTTCTCTTTACTTACAGATACCAAAAGGATACAACTTTGTTTTATTAAACTACACCACACAAAAAATACTAAATAGTCAGCAATACTCAAGAATGGCGGCTGCTTTACACTTGAAAGAAGTGATAAAAATGTGTCCATCATTTCTGCTGAACAGAAGTGGCAATTCCCTGTCGTCATTTAATGGATTATTTTCTAACCAGTTTCAACAAAATGTTCATGTCTCGCTAACAAGAGCTAAACATGAAGACACTTCCAGTCAGTCTAAGTCAGCACTACAACGCTATAAGGTTAGAAACAGATTGCCGATGATAAAAGAAAAACATCTGTTGACTGGACCTCACACTGAGAAAAATTGTGCTAGTCTGGGGTGTTCCAACAAAGATTCATGCAAGGAGTGTAAGCCTGAGACATCTGAAGATTTTTGCGGAAAGTTTGAGCGTCCTAAGGTGAAACTGGACAGTACTAAAGAAATAGCTGACAAGCTTTCTTCCTATATGGTAAAAGATGGCTTTATGAGAAACATGGAAAATTTAGATTTATTTTCTGAGACGCAGCTAGTTCAAATATTTGATTGTAGCCATGATGATGTTGAATCTATTATAGCAAGATACCCTTTTTTAAAGACCACATCTACACCAGTCATTGAAGAAAAAGTAGATCTACTAATGTCCTATGATTTTCCTTTGTCTATGATCAGAAACAACCCAAGGCCATTAGTTTCTACATATGAGGAACTTAACAGAAGGTTGCAGTTGTTTGAAGCCAAATCCTTATTGACTGACAATCTTGTCAAACCTATGGAAGATCTTTATAGTTACTTAGCGTATGATGAAAACAGGTTTAATGGAGTTTATGAGAATTTATGTGACAAAGTTGATCAATTAGAAAAATGTACCACCAGTAATTACAAACATCTATCTGATGTTTTCAAATGCAGTCAGGATGACATTAAATCTATTATAGCAAAACACCCTCCCTTAAAGACTATGTCAGTCTCATTACTACAGGAAAAGGTAGATCTGTGGCTCTCCTACAATTTGCCTTTGTCTTTGGTCAGAAATAACCCAAGACCACTTTGTCAGATTCCAATGCAGGAACTTAGCAGGATACTGCAGTTGATGGAAGACAAATCCTTATTAATGACTGAAAATTCAGTTGAATCTCAAGAAGATTTTTATAATAATTTGGAAAATGATAACAAGAGATTTGATACATACACAAAGAATGTACATGATGATCCTTATGGTCTAGGAACAGACAACAGTAAATCTGAACAACTGGCTCAAATATTTGATTGTAGCCATGATGATGTTGAATCTATTATAGCAAGACACCCATTTTTAAAGACCACATCTACTCCAGTCATTGAAGAAAAAGTATATCTACTAATGTCCTATGATTTTCCTTTGTCTATGATCAGAAACAACCCAAGGCCATTAGTTTCTACATATGAGGAACTTAATAGAAGGTTGCAGTTGTTTGAAGCCAAATCCTTGTTGGGTGACAATCTTGCCAAATCTATAGAAGATCTTTATAGTTACTTAGCGTATGATGAAAAGAAGTTTGATACAGTTTATGAGGATTTGTGTGTCGAACTTGACTCTTTAGAAAGTTGTACCACCAATAGTTCTCAAAATCTAGCTGAAGTTTTTGAATGCAGTCAAAAGGATGTTGAATCTATTATAGCAAGACACCCATTTTTAAAGACCACATCTACCCCAGTCATTGAAGAAAAAGTAGATCTACTGATGTCATATGATTTTCCTTTGTCTATGATCAGAAACAACCCAAGGCCATTAGTTTCTACATATGAGGAACTTAACAGAAGGTTGCAGTTGTTTGAAGCCAAATCCTTGTTGAGTGACAATCTTGCCAAATCTATGGAAGATCTTTATAGTTACTTAGCGTATGATGAAAAGAAGTTTGATACCGTTTATGAGGATTTGTGTGTCGAACTTGATGAATTAGAAAGTTGTACTACCAATAGTTCTAAAAATCTAGCTGAAGTTTTCGAATGCAGTCAAAAGGATGTTGAATCTATTATAGCAAGACACCCATTTTTAAAGACCACATCTACACCAATCATTGAAGAAAAAATATATCTACTGGTGTCCTATGATTTTCCTTTGTCTATGATCAGAAACAACCCAAGGCCATTAGTTTTTACATATGAGGAACTTAACAGAAGGTTGCAATTGCTTGAAGCCAAATCCTTGTTGAGTGATAATCTTGTCAAGTCTATGGAAGATCTTTATTGTTACTTAGCGCATGATGAAAAGAAGTTTGATACAGTTTATGAGGATTTGTGTGTCCAACTTGATGCATTAGAAAGTTGTACTACCACTAGTTCTAAAAATCTAGCTAAACTTTTTGAATGCAGTCAAAAGGATGTTGAATCTATTTTAGAAAAGCACCCTCCTTTAAAGACTTTGCCTCTACCGTCAATTGAGCAAAAAGTTAAGTTGCTATTATCCTACAAGTTTCCTATGGCTCTGATTAGAAAAAATCCCAGACCACTGTACAAGTATTCAGACTCTGAACTTACCAGAAGATTGGAGCTGTTGAAAGAAAAGTCTTAGACTGATGATCTTAGATGTAAAGAAAATGAGTAATTGTTATTTGTGTTAAACTGTATCAAGTTGAAACTGAGTCTGTTTACTTGAAGTTAAATTTTATGGCCCTACATCAGTTAAATTTTTTAATAATTTAAAAAAAAAGCCTAGATATTTAAATTTCTTAAATTGAGTATATTGTACTCTTTAAGCATAAGAATACTTATGAAAGAATGTCATTAATGAATGATTAATGTCAATATGTAATTGGCTTATAATTAATTAAAAAAATTTTTTAAAGTTTAAAAAATGTGCCTTGTCTAGTTCAGGGGTCGGCAACCTGCGGCTCGCGAGCCACATGCGGCTCTCCAGCTCCTTGAACAAATACTAATAATCTTAATTAAAAAATTAAATATTTGAAATTTAAAAAATGTTAGTGGCTCTTTAAAACCAGGGAAATTTTGTAAATGCATCTTTTGGCTCTTCCGCTTCAAAAGGTTGCCGACCCCTGGTCTAGGTGGAAAGCTGGTCATTTTTAATTGGAGTAGTTTGTTTTATTTAAATGATCATTTTGTGAATTTTTGACAAACCAATTTTTGTTATCTATTACAATTATTTTCCAAGTACACTTCTTTAGAAGCTTATTGACAATTAAAAATTAATTTTAATGAACCAAAATGTGAATTTTCCTGTCATATAATTTATTTTGAATTAGGAATCAATACCTTGTTTTGTAACACTGAAAAACGCAAAGGACAAAGATATCTTTGTATTTATTGTTGTAAGCCCTTGTTTAAATAAAAAGTAACTTTTTAAAATAAACTTCAAAGTCATCACTTTTTAGAATACATTTTTGTTAAGACATCATCAGGTCCTTTATTTTAGGTGAAAATAATTGATTTCAGAACAATGAGTGTGATCTATTAGAAACACCAGCCTGAATACTCATTAACCCCATTAACCGTGTGTCACGAGTTAGCTCGTCATATAAAATCTTGGGCTTAACCGTACATCACTCGTCTTCAGATAAAAAAGTCGTCTGTGTGCCGTGCGTCCCGAGTTAACTCGTCTTGATAAGAAAATAGCATTGGAAATCAATAACAATGTAGAGGGAGGCTAATCTAACAGCCAATTCAACAGCGGATGATAAAATAGGTCAAAATGTTTTGTTTTGTCAGGACAACATAACAAATCAAATAATGAAAAAAAAAACAATTACACGGTTTCCAAAAAAAAAAAAAAATTTTTTTTTTCCACGGTAAAGGGGTTAAACTAGTCCAACCGTCATTCACTTGACTATCCATTCAATCAGTTACAAGTAACCAAGCAAATTGAATAAAAGTATTCTTTAATTGGAGACAGACTAATAAATTGAATAAAAAGACTACCATAAATATGAAAGGTATTAAAAAATTATAGCTATAGAAATCATGAAAAATTATAAAATAACAAACAGCACAGATTCATATATTGAACATTATTCAGTTTGTCATTCTAAAACTAACTCCATAGATCTATTGGTAATATTTGCTCTATGGACCTTTTATATGCAAGTGACCAAACCATACAAACCTCAGCCATAGTTTCCCAATTTCACTCAAACATACAATGGATGGCTATGTAGAAGCTATTCGAAGAAAGCATCTGATTTTTTGATTTATACAGTTTTTTTTTTTTTACTACCATGATTACACTAGGGAATTCACATCATTCCTCCCCATTACACCACATACATTATTTTCATGATTTAACTGTTTATCTATATATACATATATATACACACAATTATGTTTAATGGCATAACAATACTAAATAAGCAGCAAAAAATAAGGTAACCACTCTACACAATTTTCTTTATTGCACCAAATTCTAAAGTACATGTCTAAATAAAAAAATTACAGCACTGAAAGTTCTTATTAATCAGGTTGAACAAATTTAAAGTCTGAAGAGAAGCAGGGCAATATTGACATTGTCAACTGTCTAGGTAAATAAATTAATTTAAAAGTAAACCATTAGTGCTATTATTTTCATCATACTGGTGAGAAGTGCATAGTAAAATTGTATCAATGAAACGATTCAACTATGACTTCTACAAAAGAATGTGGATAAATAAACATTACTGTTTAAACATAGCATATTTTATTAAGAATTGCTGTATAATTTCTTTTAGTAATGACATAAAAATAAAATCCATAAAGAATGAACATGAAATCTAAATATTTATAGTTGCTGTAGGTCTGATCATCCATTTGGGCTGTCTGCCCATCGTATTTTCTGCAAGGCAACATTGAATCATGTTATCAATGCTAAAGTAGCTTCTGAATTTATCTAATTAAAAAATGAAATAAATCAGTAATAATAGTGAGAACTTTATATAACAAATCTCTACCTTCCTCTATCATTTAAATACTTCTATTACAACCCTGGACCAGATTAATTTAAAAACTAATAATAAATTGTCAGTTACCTGCCTTGTCCTTTGGTTCTCATATAATAAAGGATTTTTACCTCTAATATTACCCACCTTTGAAGAAAATGCAGCATTTGACGTTATCAACACTTCAGTCTTGCCCTTAAATCGGCAAAGAAATTTTTTTTATAGACTACATACAAGAACAATATCCCATAAATCAGGAAACAAACATTTATAGCTCTAGTTTAGTGATGTCAATAAGAATTATTAACTACAAATGTAGAAAAGAACCATCCAGCTACCTTTTGTTTGAGACAAGATGAGAGGCCAGGTGTAGTTGCTGGAACACGGCAGGGGGTCCTGAGAGGGGTCACTGGGAGGGTATTCTCACGGGGCAAGGCTATCCTCTTGGCGCCAGACAGGAACACACTTGATGCAAGTCTCTGGTTTGGTGTGCATGCAAGTTCCTTTTGTTTGGGAGTAAATATCTGAGGCTGAAAAGTGTCTGTGCTTGCAGACTGAGTGTAATAAACAGGAACGGTGTCTGGACATTTGTGTGACTGTTTGGGGGTAAATATTTGATTCTGAAGAGTGTCTGGTTTTGTACTAGAAAAGGGTAGAGGGACATTGTCTGTACATCTCTGTGGCTGAGGCAAGTTCTCTTTTAAAAGATTTCTGGAACATTTCTTTGATGAAATGATAGGAAATACATCATGGACAGCATTATTTCTTCTCTTGACATCTGTTAAACAACGTTGTCTTTCATCGTGCGGTGTAGTTGGGGCTGAAAGAATAGTTTTGAAGTTTTTTAAAAACCTACCAGTAACAAACTATTATGATTTTAGTAAATGGTTCTAAGAATAGGGAAGGTAAAGAAGTAAGACGAAATTTTGAAAAAAGAGAATACAAATAGCTACCATTGAGAATTTTCTCTTTAAAAGTTTGTATGTTCCGTTGGTGCTCCAAAAAAGATTCCATCAGTGACTTTGGTTGTTCCTTATAAAATAATGATGTGCGATTACAGTTCTGAAAAAAGCAGAAAAAAACTATTTTAAAAGCAACTACTAAAAGCAACAGCCTCAAGTTTAAATACTATCACAGAGTTACTTACACCTGGTGTACTGGTTATACCTTGCCCATTAAGAATACATTTAAGAGATGTAGGATCTGACTTGAATGTAGGCTCTAGAAAAGTGAATGAGTAATAATAATTACAAAAATCTTACACATTTTGGGCAGTAAATGGTTTTAATGTCAGTAGGACAGGAGAAATAAACAGGCCTAACACACTGTTAATAATTTGGAATGTCAAATATTATAATGACAAAATAACTACCTACTTTTAATGAGTTTTAACTAGTTTATAAACACAAACCAATAAGTATGCTTATACTCAGCAATTCAACTTCTGAGCTAAATAGTATCTGTTATTTTTATTCCACCTTAATACAGTGGAAATAAGAGTTCCAAAATCTACTCACCTACACCTAACTGCTGCATCTTTTCTTTGTGAAGCTGCAATTTTCTTTTGAAATCATTATGTGATTCCCACATAGACATTCTGCTAGCTTGAATTGGTGTGGTGACCAAAGTCATTCGACCAACTTGAAATGGTGTGGTCACAGATATACCACTGCCAGACTTTGAAAAAATGTTTATTATATTATTAAATATTAAATCAATGCAGTAAGAAGAAAAGGTATGCAGTTGTCTTAAAAACTGATGAAGGAATTTATTTTTAAGATAAAAATGCAGTGATATCTTAAAAGTATATCATAAAAATGCATTTCTTATTTGATACTCAAGTAAAACTTACAAAACAAGGTTTCATTTTAATATCATGTACAAATGGTGCTAAGACTTTTTAAAAAACAAAAAATCCTCTATTACCTTCACATGAGTGATTGGCTGTGCAATTTGACTATATACAATTCCTTCATTGTTCAGTATACTATGCAATGCTTGCTCATCAGCTTCAAAGGGGACATCTAATGAAACAAAAAGTTTTTCATTAACAATTATCTTTCCAGAGTTGGGCACAAAATGTTTGAGTTTGTGATGACAAGATGTGTAGTATGAAAGAAAACTTTTTTCAAGGTCTAAATAATATAAAAGAAGGCATTACCTTGTTGCAAATCTGAGTGGTTATGTCCTTTAAGATGCTTTGTATTGCTGACACAAAATAAATGAAAAAGTTTTAATGCGCTCCCCTTTCCTATTGATTTCATATACAACTATCTTAGTAATTTCAGTCATCTACTTTTGTATCTTTATTTTCTTAACACAATCCTATTCCATTGCAGTTAAGTTAAAGCATGGAAAATATTGCTTGTGAAACCCTCCGGAAATGTAGTTCATCTGATTGTTTACCTTTGCATGCAAAAGTGAGTGCGGGATCAAATTGATTTGATTTTATCTGAATTTAGTCAGTGGACTTAGGTTGTCATTCAGACCTAAGCTCAGGAACCCTAAATTAAGGTTTTTCAGGGAAGCAATCATGTGCTCAATAATCTGATCTGACTGCGCATAAAGCAGCTTCTGTCCCCTTTAATTTAAACTTTCAAGTTAGTTTTTTTTTTAATCAATGCCAATATGGAAGTTCGTGCTGGTATTGTATTTCTTCAGCAGTTACTTTTATACATCTTGCACTAAGTCTAGATGATAATAAATGATTTAAGTTAAAAATAAACAGCTAATTTAAAATTCATAGTAACCTTTTGATGTCACACATAGTTCTTTGCCTCCCTAAACCTTGAAATCTGGGGATTTTACTGCAATAAACATATTACATATTAAGAGTTTTACTGTAATTTAAAGGACACATTTCCTATTACAAAACTTTTATTTGTCATGCTGATTAACTTTCCAATACCATAAATTCATGTAAAATAATATTGAATCATATTAATTTTTTATTTTACCTCTTCCTATCCATTTTTTGTTGATGCTGTGACATTGTAAAATATCTCAGGTGTGATCTATATAATATAAAAGAAAAATAGATAAGTCTATTGTCTTAATATTACTAAAATGCATTTAAAAGTAAATATGGCTCATAGTATAAGAGACCATTTGATTGCCCATTGGAAATCCAAGCACAATGCCTGTTCAGTAAGATAATAAGGGTCAGATGTATCAGGGCACCTCTCTCTACACTGACTACACAGCTGATAATATACAACTTGGCATCAGCTGTGTAGAGGGAGTAGCCAAAAGGTAACCAGAGTTGGTAATCCTATCACCTAAGGGGCTCCACTTCTGTTTCCTCTTCTAGATCAGTTGCTGTCCCCAGCTAACATACAAGCCGCATCAGCCAGCGGCTTTGAACTCAGGACTTTCAGGTTAAAAGTAGAAAATGTTTAAAAATCTGTATTATAACATTCAATAAAGTTAAATATAAAAAAAAGTCATAGGCCTATAAGAAAATAAAATAATAGGGCTTATTGCTTTGGCTTTATTATATAGTAGATCTAGCCTATATACTATATAGACTACTAGTACTAGGGTACCTGTTTAAAGGGCACCTAAGGCTAGTGCATGCATCTAGTAAAAAAAATGAGTAATGAATAACGAAGTGACTACGCGTCTCGCAGAGCGTGGCCCCTAAAAAATAGACTACACGTCTCGCAGGTTGGATTTGCCATCTTGTAATTGAAAATGCTTACTTTTTACTTCTCTATCATATCCGGTGTGGTTGAGTCAACAGTGTGCTAGCTGTAGACCGTCGTTCATAGACCCGGAGTACCGAGTTCGGCCGGTACTAGTTTTTTTTTTTTTTTACATTTTTTTTTCATATTGAAAATATGACGTAGACTGGTTTTTTTTAAAATAAAATTTCCAAACATCGTCACTGGCGTGATTGCTGTCTTGCCTTACGTTTACTATCCCGTGAGTGGAAAATCCCATCATGGCCCACAGTCGGCGAGGTCACTGTGAGTTCAGCAGGTCTAAAGCATACATCATAGAATGAACACAAGTTCACGAGATCGTATGTCTTCACTTCTCTCTTCCCCCCCCCCTCAAGCAAATTAAGAAAAAAAATTAAGTTCACATAGGATAAATTATATAGACTTACATCTACTATCACACATGCTAGATAGCTAGGCATTAGGCCTAAAGGTTAAAGGACAGTTTGATTTAGCTAGATTGCTGCTAGATCTAGATCTAGCTAGATCTAGGACTATCATCTGACCCACTTATTGACACTTCACTGTACTGTTTTTTTTACACGTATAAGACTCTTAGTCTTAGGTGTTGACATAGGCCTAATATAAATACACTTAAAGTCTTAAACTCGATCTAGATCTATGTCAACATTAAATTGTTACCATGAAAAAAAAATCGGGCAGTTCTGATCTGTTTTTTTTAAGATCGCGTGCCACCTAGGGTAAATATTAAGCGTAACGCGGAGCGAACCGCGCAAAGGTGGCCTTACGTGTAACGCAGAGCCAACCATGCAAATGCGGCTAATGAATAATATTAAGGCCAAGGCTATTCCCAGCCGGTTGGGAATAGCCGTATTGGGGCTATTCCCAGCCGACTGTGAATAGCTCCAATACGGCTATTCACAGTCGGCTGTCATTTCATGCTAAATAGTAAATACGACTGTGAATAATATCTTAAAATAATAAAAGCATTTATTGTGACTGGGGAATGAGTTATAGATTAAGAGAGCAGTGCTATTTATTTTTATTTTGTTATAAAAAAGTTATTACAATTAAAGTTTAGTTTAGCTTTTAGGCTCATATCAGACATATCTGCTACAGGCATATAGGTCGTAGATGATCGATTATGCACTAGAATAATAGATCTAGTAGGCCTAATTTTTAAATAAATAATACTAATTAAGCATCAGTTTGGTAAAGTTTAGTTGGTTGTGCACATTGCTATTCACTTATCAGTTACCATTAAAAATTCGCATTATCACATAGAATAAATATCAGGTGAAATAGGGTGTCCTTTTGTGTTTTTTTTTTTTTTTTTTCTTTTTGCGGATATGCCAACAATTACGTCACAAAAAAAATTAACAAAAGTAACCCTTCGATGAGTAACTTAAGTAACTGAAAAAATATTTTGATATTACGATTGAGAGGCATACATCAAGAGTCATAGCATATGGCATCTGATGGATTAGAACCCACACCTTCTAGCACAGCAGCCACTTCTAATGACCGCTCGACCACACATTTTCATGCCTAGTTAGGTATTTTTAACATTAAATCTATCAAAAACGGTCACTTGAATACGACTGTGAATAGCCCCAATACGGCTATTCACAGTCGGCTGTGAATAGACACTTCGTAATATTAATTTAATAGAAATAGATCCAGGGATCTAGATCTAGTCCAGACTAGACTCAGACTAGTCCTATTCTATTGATTTAAGTAAAGTGATTTAGATCTACTGACTGATCTAGATATTATTCAGATATTCTAGAATCTAGATCACTAGAGACTAGGTCACTAGACTAGAGACCCCTGACTAGATTTCCTAGATCTAGTTGTCCCAGAGTTTAGAGTTTAGATTAAGACAAGAAGTTAGAATTGTAGAGAGTAGAGTATGAGTAGACTAGTACTAGTAGAGACTAAGACTAGATAGTAGAATCTAGATTCTAGATTCTAGTGACAAGTCTCTTCTAGATCTAGATCTAGATGTAAGAAAAGGTAAATATCTAGATCTAGAACATATTTTGGAGGTGTAGATATCTAGATTTTAGATCTAGAAATCTAGATATAAATTAAAATAAATAATAAATTGGTTTAGCCAACTTTTAAGTCTTTTAAATCCTCGGCATTTTATTTGTATTTGGTACGCACCATTTATTTCCGGTAAGATTAACCAATCACCGCTTAGATACACCGTAAGATTTAGACCATGGGTTCCCAAACTGTCGGTCGCGACCCCCCCCCCCCCCCCCCCACTGGTAGATTAAACCCTAGCAATAAAAAAAAAACATAAATAATTAGAAGGCTATCTTAAATTCGGCTTTGCTAACATCACTGGAAATGAAGTAGAGAAGAAACAACGCGTACTGTGCAAAGTTGTTCTCAGTCATCAGTCTATGAAACCTACAAAACTAAGACGTCATTTTTAGACGAGTCATTCGGGACACACCAAAAAAGATATGGAGCTCTTTCGTCCTCATGAAGCTAGCTGCAAACGTCAGAGACAAGGAAACACAGCATTAGTTCAAGAATCATATGAATTCGCATTATAAATTGCCAAGCAAAAAAAAAAAAACCTCACACAATAGGAGAAAATCTCATCAAAACTTGAACGTTGAAGATGGTAAACTTAATTCTTGGGGATTCCAGTGCAGTAAAAATGCAACAAATATCTCTGTATTCAGCGTCTTATGGCAAACATGTACGCAGATGTTAAAGAATAAATTTTGAATGAAATCGAGTTTTCACCATTGTTTGCTTTTCAAGATGAGTCAACAGTCGTGAGTTCGTGTTCACAGTTGTTTGTCTTTGTGAGATTTATAGGCCTATTTCTTAAGATGATAGCAAAGAAGAGTCGCTATTTTATGAAGATATCTTGGAGAAAAGAAATGCATTTTTTAAAAGAAAAACTGGATGATTAAAATGGGAAAACTGCCGTGGGGCCTGTACGGTTCGTCGAAATCGGACTTTCAGAAAACAGTAAAAGATTTAGCTTCCTAATCATGAGGAATCCATTGCATGATTCACCGGTATGTCCTCGTCAGAAAGACTCTTCCGACTCCATTGCTAATGAAAGTCTTAAATTATATTAAATCTGGAGACCTAAACACCAGTCTGTTTAAAGAACTGTGCAAAGACACGGGCATCACGAGGTCCTGCTTTTCTACACTACAGTACGCTGGCTGTCAAAAGGAATTGTTGTGGGTCGTGTTTTTAAATTGACAGATGAAATCAAGTTGTTCCTGGAAGTGCAATGGAAACAAGGCCTTTTTATATACTTTAACGACAATTAGTGGTTGGAGAAAGTATCATACCTAGCAGATATATTCGAACAGCAAAATACTATCTCTTTTCATGATAATCTAGGGACATTTAAGTCAAAGGTGCAAAATTGGCGAAGAAAAATAAATCTTGGAAATATTGCCGTTTTTTGGGAAACTCTGCAGTCGGGTAGATGAATCTGTGAGATAAATAAAAATTTGAAAGATGATTCTGGGCATCTTAAATCTCTTAAAAACGCACGGCGGCGTTATATCCATGAGCTGAAAGAAGAATAATCTGTATTGACACGATACCCATTCTCTGCTCCCCTTAATGTTTCAAGCATTCCCCGTGAATTACCAGATGAATTATTAAATATGCGAAATGATTCAGCGTCACATACCATGTTAAATGAAAAACTGTTAACACAATTTGGTTTATTATGCACCATTCATACCCAAACGTGAAAATGATTGCCTTTCGAGTTTTTATCTCCTTTTGTGTCTATGTACTAATCTCCACCACCCACCAACCCTTCCCCCCCCTCGCAATCTTCGTCTTTATTCTTGGAATGTCTAGATCCGATCCCATATAATTCACATAAAACTGGTTTTAACAAACAAGTAAAACATAACATTGGCATTAATTATATTTAGAAAAAAGAATGTAGATCTAGATTCTAGATTTTTAGATTAAAAGTAGATCAAGTTGATTGGATGTTTTATTTTTCTAGGTCTGTCTAAATCAATGGTTCCCAGATTTTTTCGAGTGACGACCCCCTTTTATAAAAAAGTAAGTGACCCCTTAGAATTAAAAAGTCGAAACTAGTACAGAAATTAATAAGCACTAAAATATGTAGACTTTCAATATGCATTATTCTTGATAACTGTTTTAATACGATGAGTGAAATTACAGGCTATTAAATAGCCTCAAAATTCGCGGTTGAGTTTGTATTAACGTCAACATCATGTCATTCTCAACATGAATTTATAGAAGACCCTTTAAGGTGCTCTTAATAAACTTATATAGACCTAAAGCTTACATATGTTTAACCTACATAAAGCTGTGTCTATTTTGCAAAAATATTAAATTTATTTCAACTGAAAATCTGAATTCAACAGTACTAATCTATTAGGCCTACTCCTTTCTCGTTGGTCTTAGATTCCTATTTCATTTTTCATGGGACAAAAAATACTTTCGTCTTTCCTAATCACAACACCGCAAAGCTTATGTAACGTCTCCGAGATTAAGCGAGATCGCTGAGGTAAATAAAGTAGATGACAAACATGGCGGTTAACGTCTACACTGCCTTCATTTGGGGGCTCCAATTAATAATTTTTCTTAAATTATTTTCGCCAACAACATCAGCAAGTAAGTAATCCATTGTTTAAAATTTTACTTTTATCTCTCCCAAATCACTTGTTTAAAGCAAACATTGAATTTAGCTTTAAATACATGCCCCCAAACGAGTTACAGAGACTTCAGAATCAGAAGTTCAGAAAAAGTGAGAATTTTATTTTATATTTTTACTTTGTTTTTCTTATAAAAATGAAAAAAAAAAAACACTATTTTTTACCGCATGTAATTTAGTGCTATTGTTTTAAATTTTAAGCTGTTCTCTTTACAGTAAGAAATATATTTCCACTTCATTTTGATGGACTAGGTCACTAGTCACTAGATCTAGGTTCTAGGAAAACTCCAGAAACCGCAGAAACTAGAGGTCCTTTTAATTTTAAATTAAAAAATTATAGAGTCTAGATCTAAAACTTATTTGTCTAAACTAAAACAGAAGTGGGTTAGACTCCATTATTTATATGATTATAGTGTATTTTATTTGCAGCTTCTTGTTAATCTCCAGTTATGCATACTTAATATAATCACAACCGAAACACAAGAAATGTTAGGAAACCAATAACTAGATCTAGAGTATTCTAGAGTAAAGTGGCGTCTGCGGACAGTTAAAACTGCCATAGCAACCATACAATCCAAACAATTATCAGTAAGAGAAGCGGCTTCCAAATTTGAATTCCTAGCTCTACGCTGCAAGTTTAATTACTGTAAATTGATGTTGTATTTCTACATCTCGGTTTTAAAAAAATCTAGTCTAGATGTTAAATTTAATTAAAACTTATTTCATATTTCTTCAAATTTTATTGTTTTCTAATATATTAATTTATAAAACTATCAACAACACTATTTATATGTGTAACATATTTATTTCAATTATTTAAATAGAAACAAAATGAACAAAATATGCTTTGTCCGCATAAGGAGCAAGGGGGAAAAAAAAAAAATTTAAAAAAAAAAATGCGCTTGGTGTCCGCACAGAGTCTCAGCACTAAAAATTTTAATACATCCGGTGCTATGTGTAAGTGAATGAATACAAAATGACTCATATGTGACTACACTAGAAAGAATGCAAAGTAACAGTACTTTTGGTTTATTTCTATGTGAAACTGTTACTGAATGGCGTTCAATGTAAATCGGGAGATTAGATTTTTTGCTACGTCTGTCCGCAGATGCCACTTTACTCTAGAAATACTTTTTACTTTCTCGTATATACGAAGTATAGAGAAAGCATTGTAATCGCGCAAAAAAACATAATTTTGCAATCTTGTCCGTATGTCTGTGTGTGTGTCTATCTGTGTGTAAACACGATAACTTGAGTACCGTTACAGCTAGGTTGATGAAATTTCATATATAAGTATTTTATCAAAATCGTAGATCCGTATCAACTTTTGAGCGATTTCCGATAACCAGAAGTGGTACTTTTTCTACTTTTTCAAAAGCCTATAACTTGAGTACTATTTCAGATAGATAAATGAAATTTCACATGTAAGTAAAAGATCTAACTCTCTACCTTCTGTCAAATTTTGAGTAATTTCCGTTGACTGGAAGTAGTAATTTACGCTATTTCCAATTTCTCAAAAAACTAATGTAAATTTTTAAAGTACTAATAATATTGCGCACTATTATGCACTTTTTATTTGGAGTTCACTTGGTGTGCAATTCTTTTGTCTACGAGATTTTATTCTATTTTTAAAACTTTAAGTATTTAAAATTGATTAAAAATCACGTCTATAGAGGAGATCACTCTCGGTTTATTTATTTTTATTTCTGTGTTCGTTTTTGAAAATTTTGTCAAAGCTTGAGAAAAATCCAAATTTGACATAAAATAAACGTGCGCTAATTAGTAATTAGGCCTAGATCTAGTTGTTTTTTTTTTGTATTTGCAAAGATTTAATGGCTATGGGTAAAGTACGAAACACTAAATGACAAGGTTAAGTTTGTATTGTTATAAGAATCTTGCAATTTTAAATACCCAAGTTAATATCTAAACGACTGTAAAATCGCAGTAACCCCTTGACTATGTCAGGATTTTTATCCCTGCTGACCGCATACTGTTTAATTGAAACTGTAACGCTTGTTTACAATTCTGCAGTTACTCTATTCTTTTAAGTCTGTTTTAATTAAAATGTGACAAATTCCTTTAAAAAAAAAGTAGGCCTAGATATGCTATTGTGTTTTCCTAACATTACTGTGGGTTTCGGTTATTTTTAGAATAGAATACACTCAATCAGAGGTGAATGAGAAGCCAAAAAATATACTAAAATCAAGCAAGTTTTACCTAGATGATGATGATGTGGTGGCTATTGTGTTAGGGTTTATTTGTCTGCCTTCTAAATATTAAACATAAGCTTAATCCTTACCTTTTTCTGTTTCTTGTTTTTAGTATTTTCAGTAACAAAACAAAATTTGAAAAAAAAAACCAATTAGCCTATGCCTATAGGCTTTTTTCAAAATCTTTTTTTCTTTCCTTTACATGGAAAATGTAAACATAGTATATCAAGGTCAAGTTGTGTTTCAAAAGTGTAAAATATTGGAAACTACCTACCAAAATGTAGTGTGCAAAAGCATTTATTTTTTAAATTATTGGATCACAAGTGACACCACCAAAAAGCATTGTTCATTAATGATGGAAATTGGAAATAACTAAGACAATTAGACCTAGTTGTTAACAGAAAAATAATCACAGTATTTCTCTTCCTGAAGTCACGCTCAAGTAAAAAAAAATTCAGATTTAAATTCCATGCAGATAAATAACAAGATATGCTGCCTTATACCCAAAACAATATCTTCTAACTCCCTGTATAAGCTAATTATATAGATCTAACATTGTTTCTTCAAATAATTAATAGGGCCTATCTGTATTTTTACGTCTGCATTAATTTTTACTGGCATAATATTTGACAAAATATTTTTTGCACCCAGGTCATCAATAGTTATCTGTAGTTTCTTATCAAAAGCCAGGGACGCTATTTATGAAATGCCTACTACTAGAAATCTAGATTTCTACTTAAGTAGTAGTCTTTAATTACTACACTATGTATGGATTTTAGTAGAATGAAAAATAAATATAAATTATCACATTAAAAATGTCTCATATTGTGCTCACTCAGAATAAAATAAAATAGCAAAAATTTTAGGTCTAGCTCAGTTTTTATTGGATGGTTGTTGTTCATAAAGTGTGGGATCCCCATTTTTTTTTTGGCTTTGGCCATTTGTAATCATAGCCTTTTTACTTGGTGTAGCATTTTATTTATACTTGCTGAATTTATCTAGAATAATATCAAGAACTTATACATACTTATGTATAACAGAACTTATTCAACTAAATAAAAATACTACAGAAAGTACATTTTTTGTTGGTTTTTTACCTCTTCCACTAATATTGCAGGTTGTGCAAAAGACTTGTACATTTCATTTGCACAACCTGCAATATAAAGTGGAAGAAATACATTTGTCAAGGGTTTACTTTACATTTAAAAAATAAAACCCCTTAAGGGGGGACAGTCATGAAATACCATTTTTTGCACAATTGAACTATTTTACAGAAAATAACTCATTTATGGCATTAGTATATATGTTTAATACACTTTGGTGTAAAAAAAATTTCATGGTAATCGTTAGCCAATTAAATTGATTAAATTTGGCGGGAAAAATGTACAGTTTTTACATACAATTTTTAAAAAACTTTTCCTCAGTAACTATCTATAATTATAAGTCCAACTTTTGGATTTAGATAGTCCACATGTATGTGAGAAAATCCATAGAAGAAAATTTATATATTTGCAGAAACTTTTTTAATTATGAATTTTCTACTAATGACTAATTAATTTGAACCTATAAGGTTTGCAAAAAATTATGTATAAAAAAAAGTATTGAAGATAGCTTCATTATTCTTCTGCTTGTTTTTTCAACAGTGTGTTATGTAGCTTCAGCAGAAATTTCATGTAAATTGAACAAGTAGTTTTTGAGGAAAATGTTTTTGAGTGTTCAAAAATGTAAAAAAATACGTTATTGAGAAAACGCTAAAAATGTAACAAAAATGGAAAAAAAAGCTTTTTTCATTGAAAATACAATATAAAGAGCTATTTTAAAAGCTTTATCAACATGTTTATGATGGTAATTTCATCATTAGTAGTAAATTAAGTAAAAACTGATTTTGTAAAAAGGGTTTGAAAAAGACTACATATATTGATGGAAATATAAAATTTAAATTTAAAAAAAAAAAACAAGTTTTTACACTAATAAAACTAACTTAGCTTAAAGAAATAACAATTTAGAAGGCTCCAGAACTGTATGAAGGCCCTCCCTCCAGCTTCTCAAACTCCTGTTGGGCTTTTGAGCTGGCGAGAGCCATTCTGGACCTTCTCCTTTTGACTTCCACTGACGCCTTTCATTCAGCACTGTCAATCCTCCTCTTGTCACGCCTTGCTGCTTTGACTTGAGAAGAAGTGGCATAGGAACAGCCAATGGCATCCATAAAAGCAGCCAGATGTTTACTGCCACCATTAAACTCACTGACTGATCTCAACGCCATAAGATTTGCGCACCAGGTCAATAGATGTGTCAAGAATGGCGTTGGAGAAATGTTTTGAAGAAATTGATATTTTGTTCAGGATATTGCAGTATGATGACTCTGTCATTCCTTCAATGGCCATGGCATTGCAAAACTTATCCATAGCAGCATAGCCTAATCCTATGTTGAGGAAAGCAGCGACAAATTTCTTATTGATATCATAACACCTGTCCCTGCTACTCATATTGGAGCTTGATCCTGCTGCTATGGAGTTGCACACTGTGCAGCTGACTTGCAGTTGATGTGCTAGACCCTTGCGTCCAGTCGAAATAAGTTGCAAGGGCCCTTGAAATGTACTGCACTGAGCTGCCGAAAAGAGGGCGTTTACTTCACCCAGGTCTACAATGACCAGCCCTCCAACTGTAGTAGCTTGAGGTGCTTCACATTGTAAAACATGCTAAGTTTTCTCTTGGAGGCACTGACCACTGTGGGGATGGTTGTATATCCA